ATTGAAGTCTAAGTCCACGACGGGAGCCTTGGACCCTTTTGGTACGGGCGTTGCTGCCGAAAGACAGAGGATGGAGCTTGTAGTCCCGAAGTACTTGATCCAATGCATGATCAGGGGCGATTTTGGTTGTTGTTATTTGAAATAGAATGAATTCCCGCACAGGTTTCCTAAGGTTCGATGGTAATGAATGCAATATTCAGGGAGGTGTCCTTGGGAAAGTTAGGTATATTTATATCCTAGAATCAAGACACGCCACCCGGCTATCATAACACAAGCCCTTTTCTTGGGCTATATACCTTCACGCTATAGATTCTCGTATAACGTTGGATTTGGTACTATACTATACTATACTATCTTTGTGGCGTTGATCATGTGTTGATCCTGCGGTGACGATGCGTTGATCCTGTGCTGACCATGCGTTGATTCAGCGTTTATTCGTGATGTTTGATTTGTATTACCATGGGAGAACTTCTTGCTAGCCAATCAAGTGCACGGGTTGGCTCAAAGAGGGTGTCATCGAAGCACGGCCACGCCAGCCGCTCAACAACAACATGGTATTCGTTGCTAAAAGCAACGGAGACGTCCGGGTGTGTGACGACTGCACCCCTGTGAACGCTGTCACAGAAGACTATGACTGGCCCTTGGCGCGATTGCAGGGCGGTCAAAGCTCCACAGCACCATGACTACTGAAAGTACTATCCCTCGCTTCTACGGTGCCAACTGGGAAGACCTTGACTGCCTTGTCGCCATCTCACGATCTAGATTTTTGCAAGGCGATGACTACAGCAAGGACGAACCCGCGTGATGCGCATACCTCGCACCGTACTTTGAGGGGCCGGCCCTTCACTAGGCCGGTGTCACGATCACGCCTACTCCGTACTTTCCCTCGGTTAACCGTTGATAGACTCCCCCGCATGAGCACTAGAAGTGGGCCTCCGCACTTCAACATTGCCTGATGTAATCTAGCGTCCGCTAATAACAGTTCCGCATTCCTTCTAAATGTTACCCCGCTATTGATTCCTTTCACATAGCGAAGGTAAGGTATCTAACACGTAAATATGTCTTGCTACCTTGTCTTAGCGTTATAGCCTCCTGTTTTCGACCAATTAGAGCTGCATGGTCACTCTACACGCAGCTGCTGACGCCGAAGTAGTGCCCCCTGCATTCGGGTAACGCCGATATAGTGGCCCCTACCCTCGGGTGACGCCGTAGTAGTACCCCCCACATTCGGGCACACTCGTCTCGGGACAGTGGTTCCGGGACAGTAGCACACTTGTCTTGCTTAGCTTAGGTGTAGCAGCGCGTAAGAGGGATAAAGTCTCCGAGGTATGAGACTAACCCAGAGGCACCCTGCAGATACTTCTTAGTGGCTGGTGGCGGCATCTCCAGGGTATGAGCAGGATTTAATGCCTTGTATCTCGTGCTCCCCTTATAATTATATGCCACATACTCCATTTACCGTCAACGCATTCGACGTTCGACTATCTTCTAAGGACCCTCGCTACCCTTTTGTTTCCTCGTTCTCATCTGATTCTCCCTATCCTGCAACGACACTACGGAATACAATGGGCGTAAATGATGAGTTCAGTCCCTTACCTACAGAAGAGGTAGATGAGGACATGTCCGCGGGGACGAGAGCACTGGAGGGATGGAATAAATCCGCGCGTCGAGGGGCGGCATTTCGACTTCTCATTTCTGTCTTACTCAATATCCTGCTTTTCCTCTCTGTGCTCATTGGTGGAGTCTGGAGCATGGCCTATGCTCGCACCTGCCCTGCCGATTTAGAACAGCCTGTATGGTGTAAGTTAGGTCCATTGATGAAATGTGGACAGACTAAAAGGGCAAACCACTAAACAATTGCTGCTATCCAGCTCCGGCCGCATCTGCTCTACGAAATATTCACGAAATTTTTCCTAACGCTTTCACCGAGAAGACGCAATTTATGGGTGCTCCATCGGCTAAACTCGACCGCATTTGGGAAAACCATTACGACTTGACGACTGGGATCTCAAAGCAGGAAGCCGAACAGCTTACAGTACCGACTATTGAGTTCCCAGAGGGTTCAGGGTCATACGTTGTCCTGCTAGATATCTTCCACTCTTTGCATTGCCTGAACTCGCTGAGGAAGTCCCTACACCCAGAGTACTATCCACCGTCCTATTTACGACATAATATGACGGAGGAAGCGGCACTAAGACACACCGGTAGGTCGACGCAATTCCGCATGTTTAGCTTGGGTATGAATCTCGCTCGTAAGCTCTGACTGACATTGAGTTTGGGCGGAGGTAGATCACTGTGTCGAGCAGATTCGCCTTGCACTGTGGTGTGGAGCCGATATCAGTCCAATTTCGTACCGTTTAGCAGAAGACGGTGAACTGGCAGCAATGCATGGATATCCGCATACATGTCGTGACTCACAGGCGATTTTGGACTGGGCGAATACGCGGAAAGTTTGAGAAGAGACTCTATAGACATGACGTGTTCCGTGGTACCTCGTAACTTAGGACGCATTAGCTTCACCTAGCATCTTTATATTTGATGACATATTCTTGTTTCAAGCCTTTGAACGGCTTACTATGAAGTGTTATTGAAGCGATGTATGTCTCCGGCGGCGAAGAGAACGCATCAAGTCTCTATGACAGAGCTAGACCACATCTGTACGCGCAGAGCGTATTAAAGACAGGGCTTCACCATACGACTAAGTGAAGCGTACACCACTTAGGTTCCGTACTTCTTAAATTCCACTAAGAAATCTTTGGTTGGAAAAAAAGCATCATGTAAAACTCGCAATGTTAGGAAAGCAATATAGCGTTAAGCTAGGTAACATTAGAGGAGCTCATTTTAACAATCCACGTCGTAAGCTGTCCTCTATACTCGTGCCATATTTGTAAACTCGACGGGCAGAAGCGGCGCAGTCACCTGGATGCATGTGGGCCTTGAACCTACACAAGGCGGTCGATAACACAACCAGCCGCAGGCCTAAGTGCAATGCTTATAGGAAGAAAGGACACTTGGAGGCGGTGCTCCGATCCGAGACAAAATACTAATGCACGCCCAGAAGCTGGACGAATGCATCCCGGTTCTCGTGGAGATCCTATATCATCCGTCTAGCGGACGTTATCACTACGGGAGGACTCCTTGCTAGCACAGCCTCATACCTTCCGGAGTTTTGATGGGTTCATCCTTGCCGTCAAGCAGGCCTTCGGAGTCGAGGCCAACAACATTACGGCACTTTGCTAGAAAGCCCTAGATGAATTGAGATGGTCCTCTGACGTACCAGTCTTCTTCGCTGACTTCGGCCGGATCACGTGCTAGCTGGGCATTGTCGACTATAGCTATTCAAAATCTCGCATGCTCGACCTCCTCTTTCCGGGGTGTTGTGGTCCATGCCGTCTATCCTGTCCACAAAGACTTTACACCTCCAACTCTGCACGCTAAACTCGGCATACGCTAAGCCCCGCACGCTAAACTCGGCGCACGCTAAGCCCCGCACGCTAAACTCGGCACACGCTAAGCCCCGCATGCTGCATCTCGTAAGGTGGTACGGATTATTGATTGTGAACAGGCCACGACGGTTGTTCGGGGGCTCGGCCACAGCCTGAAATTACTTAGCATCCCTTGCATACATCGTCCTGTTAACCACACGGGAAAAGAGACATGTAAATAGCTGGAAGAACGCATATAAAAGAAGGTCACTTCGTCTACTCTTTAGATATTCTTTTATATCAGATTAAGGAACAGAATTACCCTTTTATATCCTCTTCGCCTTTCATTGACTGTGTAACTGAGCGTCGCACTTGCTGTTAGTAAGCACGACCCCACTGTGATAGTTAGGCAACGATTGGATTTAGTAAGCCTCGGTCGCAGTCTTCCCTGGCAACATTGAAGATTGTACCTTCTATGCCTGCTCGCGGCACATGTGTAGTCCTTACGGTACATCCTTTCCAGTTACACTCGGTTAACTTAATCATCTTGTCACTCTTCGTTCCCGCTCACGTCCAGCGCTTTCGACAATAACCCGGCATGGAGCAAGTGCTGCTCGGCAATAACGCTACTGGGTTCACGCCCCTCCCAGGCCTCCTCCCCATTCCGCTGTCGTCCAGCCTCACATGCAACTCCAGCTCAAGCTTTAGCTCTAGCTCCAGCTTCTCGCATCGCCAATCATTCTGCGTCTCGCCCAAAGGCTGGAGACCCCTGAGTGGCAATGCTTTCTACCAGGCACCATGCTTCGTCGACGGTGCAATTGGCGTCTTATCAATATGTGCCATTATCTGCGGCCTCGGCGCCGTCACCTACCTCCTAAGGTGTGGCATTGTCGGTAAATCCCTGGTTGGAAAGTGGCATTTTGCTGCAAAATTGGTATGCTGGTTTCACCAGCGGCCGTGGACGCGAAGCTGGACAGAATTTGGCTAACCAGGTGCGACACGAAGGTCACTGTTGTCGCAGTCTTCGGACTGACAGTCGCTCAAACAATCAACGTGGCTCTTACAGAGCCAGAGAATTTCCTTCAGGAGGTGTCATTTTGGTCACTCGTCGCAGTATCGACGTCCCTGTTCGTCATCCTATGGGCGCATTGGCTCGAAAACTTCTGCTCTTTGTGCGAAAACGCCGTCGTTTTGACATACTGGCTTTTTTTTGTGCTCGTGTATACCTTCAAAGCTATCACGCTTGCTCTGGATCCAGCAGTTGGCCCTCGCTCGTCAAAGTTCATCTTCCATTGCACAGCATGGACGCTTGGAGCAGTGGAGCTGTTTCTTGAGTTTGTTGTGGCCGAGCTACTGCTGAGACCGCGCTTTGAAGGTGAGAGTGGCAGAAATCCTTTGGAATTTGCAAATATCTTCTCAACTTTAATGTTTACATGGCTGTCGCCATTCATGACTTTTGGATACAGCAACATCCTCACAGTTAAGAACTTGCTTGCTCTCCACCCAGACGACACCTCGAATACGTGTTACCACAGACTTGAGGCCGCTTGGGTTCGGGAGGAGAAGAATGGTAAAAAGCCATCGATTTGGGCCACTTTGGCCAGGTCGTACGGTGTCGAACTCGCCATTTGTGGCATCGCAGAGTTTCTCAACAACATATTTTGGGTTTTCCAGCCGCTCGCTCTCCAACATCTCATCCAATGGGTGGCTTCCAGAACTACGGGAGATCCGCAGCCGTATACCCGGGGCGCGTTCTGGGCTTTCGTAATGTTTTTAGCGTCGTTCCTGAAGACAGTGGTCAGTATTCAGAGCCGCTGTTCTGATTCACTCTAGCCTAAGGCTAATCTTTTTATTAGTGTTTTCAAAAGAAATTATCTCAAACGGTCACTGTCGCAACCCATGTTGAGACGGCACTCAAGGTGAAGCTTTATCACAAGTCGATCAAGTTGTCTGGTCAAGCTCGCAGCACGAAGTCGACCGGGGATATCATCAACGTCATGAGTGTTGATGTGGCAAAGGTATCTGACATGGTCGCAGAGGCCCATTCGGTCTGGTCTCTGGCTTTGCAAATAATCTTGGCACTAGTTCTACTATACCGTTTGCTTGGATGGGCCATGTTGGCCGGTGTTGCGCTTATGATTGTGCTGAGCCCTGTCCATGGGCTCGTTGTCGTTTTCTATAAGCGATTCCAGGTCAGATATATGAAAGCCAAGGACAACCGGACGAGACTCATGGGTGGAATTATTGATAATATGAAAGGTGAGATACACGAACCCTGAAATCTTCGCGAAGTGCTCACCAGTTCCGCAGCCATCAAATTGTACGCTTGGGATTCCGTGTATCGGGAAAAGTTACGCTGTGTGCGCCACGACGAAGAACTGAAGGCAATGCAAATTCAATCAATCCTGGCCGGCTCATTCACCATTCTCTTTTCTATGCCGCGCTATCTGATCGCCGCTCTCAGCTTTGGTATCTACGTACTCATCCAGTCGAAACCGCTCACAACTGACATCGTGTTCACTTCGCTTGCTGTCTTCAACATGCTCAAGTCCCCTTTATCTCAACTTCCAAACCTAGTCTCAACCATGACGGAAGGTGCTGTGTCATTACACAGATGTGTGGAAATTTTCACAGCAGAAGAGCTCCAACCTGATGCTGTCATGATCGAAGCGAAACCTGCATCCCCGTCAGGTGGACTGATCATAGTCAAGGATGCCGCCTTCACACCTGGAAGCTCTGAGAGCAAAGAGCTCATTAGCATTCCGGACTTCTTATGTCACCAAAACGAGTTTTGCTGTATCATCGGCTCAGTCGGGTCTGGCAAATCCTCGTTCCTCAGCGGCATTCTAGGACAGCTCCACAAAACAAAAGGAACTGTGAGGCTATGCGGGACTGTCGCCTATGTCCCCCAGACTTCATGGATCATGAATGGTTCGATCAAGGATAACATCTTGCTTGGCTCAGCATGGAATTCTGTGTTTTATGAACAGACTCTTAACGCGTGCGCATTGCGTCCAGACCTGGAGACACTACCCAAAGGCGATGCGACCGAAGTTGGCGAACGCGGAATTTCCCTCAGTGGGGGCCAGAAGGCCCGAATAAGCCTGGCAAGAGCTGTGTATTCTGAAGCTGACATCTACATCATAGACGATTGTCTGGCTGCTGTGGACGAGCATGTTGGCAAGCACTTGATTCAACAGGTGTTAGGTCCACACGGCATTCTTCGCAATAAAGCACGTATCCTTACAACAAACTCGACCCGTGTGCTTAGAAGTGCTGATGCTATCTACTACCTTCAGGAAGGACAAATAGCCGAGCAAGGCACTTATCAAAAACTCATGTCCACCGAGACCGAAACTTTCAAACTGGTCAACACGTATCTGAAGAAGCAAGAGTCTGAGCGAACAACCAGTGGAACTGAAACTTCGCTCGTCACAATTGAAGCTAAACAATCTTCTCCCGCAACACCGTTGTCAGTGGACAGGAAGCACGACCTGGATATCGCTGATATCAAAGAGGGACTCGCAGAGGTACAAGCTGTGCAGGCCACCACTCCGGCCGCCATGCCAGAATTCATCATAGAAGAAGTCCTCAACGATGCAACGGAAGCCACGCCTCTGCTTGCTGACAACAGACAAAAGGAGACTGCTTCAGACACGAACGTAGAAGACGGTTCCGGTCAGCTCGCCAAGGGAAAATTAGAAACGTCAGAGAGAGGAAAGGTAACGATGGCTGTCTACAAGGCTTATACATCAGCTTGTGGTCATTTTCAGCTCGCGGCGTGGGTGTGTTTCATGATGTTATCCCATGCAGCGGCGCTTAGTAAGGACTTACCATGACTAGTATTTGCACGCTCTGCTGACATCTTCCAGGCAGTGGGTTGTGGATACGATACTGGACTGACAAGAATGCCGAGTACGGTGGCAATTACCAGCCAGGCCAATTCATTGCCATTTACACAGCACTCGGGCTCGCGTCTGCTCTGTGTGGAGCTGCCACATCGATTGTTGTCAATGCTTTCTGCCGAATCAGTGCCTCCAAGAAACTGCACGACATCATGGCAGCAGCCATGTTCCGAGCACCGTTGAGCTTTTTTGAGACGACCCCAGCTGGACAGATTCTTAACAGGTTTGGCAGCGACATGTCAAAGATTGATGGCGAGATGATTGGGACATTCACGCAAGCAGTAAGCTGCCTGACGTCTATTATGTTCACGCTTGCAGTAGTGTGCTGGAGTAAGTAGTCAATCGCATCTTCGCAGTATCAGTACTGACGGAAGCAGCATCGCCCTTTTTCCTAATCTTCGTTGGACCCCTGGCCTACATCTGCGTCGTTCTTCAACAATACTACGTACGAACATCTCGCGAGCTCTCTCGTATGGACAGTTCCACTAAATCCCCCATCTACTCCCACTTCCAAGAATCCCTAGGTGGCGTAAACACCATCCTCGCCTATCGCAAACAAGACATTTTTGAAAAGGAAACCAAGACTCGCATCGATAATAACCTCCAGGCATATTTCCTGTCTTTTTACTCTAACCGATGGATCACACTTCGCGTCGAATTTCTCGGCAGCGTCATAGTCGGAGGCGTCGCTGCCTTCACCGTTGCTGCCATGGCTACAGGCCACCCAGTCGACCCTGGCGCTGTCGGGCTTGCGCTCTCCTATGCACTTGAGATCACCACCGCTCTCATGTACACAGTCAAAACCTCTTCTCAGATTGAAAACAGCCTCGTCGCTGTCGAACGCGTCCTTGAATACACAGCGATCCCCCCCGAGGCGCCTCTAGAAAGCAGTCCCTCTACTGCTCCACTGCCCTCTTGGCCCACGGCTGGCGCTATCGAGTTCCAGCACTACTCGTCACGATACCGTCCCGGTCTTCCGTTTGTCCTAGAAGACATCAATCTGTCCATCCCAGCAGGTGCTCGCGTCGGTATCGTCGGCCGTACCGGTGCAGGAAAATCAACTCTCGCTCTTGCGCTCTTCCGCATCATCGAGCCAGCCGAGGGCGCTATCGCCATTGACAACGTCGACACCACCTGTATTGGTCTGAACGACCTTCGTCCCAGACTGAGCATCATCCTTCAGGACCCGGCCATCTTCCCAGGCACTGTGCGAGATAACCTCGACCCAGCCTCTGTGCATACAGATGAAGAGCTGTGGTCTGCTCTAGCGCAAGCACAGCTGAAAGCCCACGTCAAAAGCATGGAAGGCGGGATCGACGCCACGCTGCACGAACGCGGCTCAAATCTCAGTCAGGGCCAATGTCAACTCATCAGTCTGGCGCGCGCTTTACTTACTTCTGCCCGTGTGCTGGTACTGGATGAAGCCACTTCGGCTGTCGACCACCGTACTGATGCTATTGTGCAGGAAACGCTGCGTGGGAAAAGTTTTCAGAACAAGACGATCTTGACGGTTGCGCATAGAATCAACACGATTGTAGACTCTGATTACATCGTCGTGCTGGAACAGGGCCGAGCACTTGAATATGACACACCACAGGCGTTGGTGGAGAAGGGTGGCTTGTTTAGAGATTTGGTTGTTGAGGCCGGACTCTTGGGACATTTTACAGACATGAAGGAAAACAAAATGCGCCAGGCGCCCAAGCATGCGCACGCATAATGAAACCTGTATAGCGCCAGTCTTAGTGAAAGACAATCTAGAGTGTACCGCATAAGCGAAACTGATCGGGAAATGTACGTATTGAGTCGTACTGCCGATTTTGAACTTGGGTATCTTCGTACATTTTGTTGGTCGCTCCCCTAGGCTGCTGATTAGGAGAGCTAATATAAAATTTACATTATTAACCTTTGAAGTTTCTTGTAAAACCCATATTATTTGTTCGGCGTCTGGCTAAGCCCGTAATTGAATTCGGCTTTATGTCGTACCAGCTGTGAGGTGAAACATCTGCTGTCTGGTAAACCTGCGTGGGGGGGGGGCGCATGTTACTGGTAAAAAGCAGTCCCTTTTTAGCACTCTGTCTGTTGTAGACCGGGAAATAGGCGTGTGGGCGCTATTTTACTGGTAAAAAGCAGTCTCTTTTTAGCACTCTGTCTGCTACAGACTGGTAAACAGGCGTGCGGGGGGACTTGTAGGGGTGTAATTTTGGTGGGGATATTATTAGTCATAATTTGTTATACGCCACAACGAACTTGGAGTAATCATCATCACAATAAAATCAAGGAATCAATCAAGCCTCATTGTTGCCCGGCATTACGCCCAGTTTTAGACTACTCCGCCACTCCACGGTAAGTTTTTGAACACGACGCCACGACCCTCATTCCTACTTTTCAGCAAACGTAGCCATGGAGCACTCGCAACCCGCAGCCTGTGCGTATCATGCAAATCAAGTACTCTCCCTCGTGGCAACAGGACGAGGAAGGGGCTATAGGCATGGTAATGAGGCAACGGTTGCGACGAAGTGGCTATGAATACAGGTTCGAGCCTAGTATGAGATATCTCGAGTGGGCACCTAGCGAGGATGATTGATTTGCTGGATTAGGTCTTAGATAAAACAGCATAAAAAAGAAGAAAAGTAGTTAAGAACTAGTTAGTTACTTTCTTTTCTTCTATAGCTGCCACCTAAATCATGAGAATAAACAGACTTGCTTAGCGCCAGCGAGATTAGGTGTTTCCACACCAGGCCGCTAAGTCGCGACCGATCTGTCTCGGTTGCCTTGCCCGTATTCGGCCTGCAGCTCCGTACTGGCCTAGAATTCTCCATGAAACTAATTATTACGTATTTGTAGCTGTGTGACCATGAATAATACTCACGGCTTGGCTGTGAGACCGTGAATATGCACACAATCGCACTTGACGCAGAAAATGTAGTTCGTCGGCAGCAGTCTGATCAAGGTCACAGTCCCTCCGAACGTCTACAAAAACTGCATTCCCACGCATCTCTCGTCCATCGTCACCATCAACCAGATTCGTCAACAGTTGTCTCTGCACAATGTCTTCGCGTCCTGCTTTAACTCCGGTCCTCGTCGACTTCAAAAACGCACTGGCCGAGCAGAAGCATTTTTATGCGTGCGGCGGTCGGATATCCATCGCAACACCCACCACTGTCGACGGCGAAGCCGAGGCACGGTCGTCAACATCTCTACGAACAACGCAGTCGAAACCAGTTACGATTCGCTGGGACTTGAGCAATCCGCCGCATGGCGGTCTGGCCGAATGCAAGCGAGTAACGCTCCCAATTACTCAACAACGTGATCGCGATGCCCTCGACAGCCTGAGGGATGATTGCAAGCCAGCCACTTTTGGATTAAACGGTAAAGACGTTCTCGACGAGACTTATCGGAAGGCTCTGAAGATGGACACCGAATTATTCTGCACCACTTTTGACCCTTATTCCCTCGGAATCGTCGATACGGTGACGCAGATGCTTCTTCCAAGCTTCGAGGATCCGCAAACGCACCGCGCGGTAGATGCGAGGCTCTACAAACTCAATGTCAGTCGCTGATGGAGCTTTACTGTTTCGTCTTTCAATACATAAACTGACGGCATATTTCCCCATTTTGTTACCTTAGATTTACTCCGGCCCATCCGGTATGTTCAAGGCCCATGTTGACACGCCCCGTTCAGCCGCGCAATTTGGATCCCTCGTTGTCTGCCTCCCAGCTGAGCACCACGGCGGACAACTCAAAGTTCGCCACAAGGGCGAGGAGACAACTTTCGACTGGAGCACGCCTTCTGACGAGAGCAAGCTTCCTCATATTGAGTGGGCGGCTTTTTACAGCGACTGCGAGCACGAGGTGATGGAGGTTTCCAGTGGACACCGGCTCACGCTGACTTACAACCTCTACGCGGTGCCTGGGACTAGGCACTTGACTGGCAGATCATCTGTATTGGACCCAACAAGGCTGCCGTTACACAGCGCCATTGAGAGATTGATCTCCGACGACCCGCTTTGTGGAAAAGGTTTGGTCTTTGAAGCGCTATCATACCAAATTAGCGACCAATCCACGCTGACTCTGAACGCAGGCGGTACACTGGGCTTTTGGTGCTCCCATGCCTATGCTTACAACGACACCCGAGAGGCGCCTCTCCCAGAAACACTGAAGGGAATTGATGCATCTGTATGGGAAAGTTTTCGGGCCCTTGGGATCGAGGTCAAAATTGCGCCCATCATCAGGATGGAGGACGACGTGAGAAACTCGATTGCCTACTTCCATGAATGGGAAAAGGCCCGCGAGCGCAAGCGTGAACCAAGAAAACGGTGTAGGCTGCCCTCAAAGTTTATTGTTGGGAATAAATTCGGCGTCAAAGTGAACTACGGACTTGCAATTGAGAATGGCGAGGGATATCACAATCTATTTACCCAATGGGGCTCCTACAGTAGCTCGATTTATTGGCTTACAGAGCCAACCCACAGCGAGCTTCAAATTATATATACGAAGGCAAGTTTTACTCCATTCTGCGACAATGATTTGCGTTAATCAATTTTTACAGTATGGTAACGAGGGTTCCGCGGGCGCCATGTACTCACACTGCGCAATTCTTGCCTCTCTGCCGTCCAAGACATCCAAGGACTCCGCCACCACTGCGTAAGAGCTGTGGACTGAACAGCTTTCGATAGCGGTAGCAATGCTTTTTCTTTGGTTATATCGTCTATATGTCTTTTTAGTAGAAAATAAAGAAGATGCTCTTATATAGGGCCGCTTTTATTCTTGTAATGCGTCTAGCCAGGGGTGCATTAGAATTCCCTTGGCATCTGGCCTCTCGCTAGGGTCTATTTTCATTACGTATCGTAGAAATGACGCAAATTCCTCACGCTCCTCCTTGGTCAGCCCCTCTAACATCTCCTCCGAGGCCAAGTCTTGATGAATAAACCCTGGTGGGAACGCAGTTACTGTTCCGTCGTCGCCGAAGACATCTTTCACGTAGTCTGGATCTCCTTTATTGAGGAGCGTCTTCGGAAACGGTCCAAAAAAGCCAACCATCTCCGCAAGGTGCATCCGGACATCATACTGACTCGACATCTCTCCAGGTTTTCTGACCATTCCGGAAAACATGCGAATGGCGCGATAGACTTCCAAAACGACGGCACCTAGATTCCACCAGTCAGCTGCCTCGTCCCAGGGAGCTTTGAGAAGCACCTCTGGGGCTCGAAGTGCCACAGGCTGAATGTTCTCAGACAAATGCTTGTTCTTCCAGCTTGCTACACCCCAATCTCCTAGAACTACACTGAAGCCGTCGATACTGTCCTTCATGTGAAAATAGTAGCGTCGCAGCGAGCGCGAGGGTAAAGGCATGTAAGGGACTTCCCGGTCTTGTTGTGGTGGCTTTTGCTCTTGCAAGTAGCGTTCCAGCAGACTACGATCGCGAATTTGGACAAAAATGTTGTTCGGTTGAATATCTATTGAATTTGGTCATCAATTAGTAGCACAAAGCTAAGACGCTTGCAGAGACGTTTACCTGTGTGTATAACGCCCCGGTCATGTGCATAATCAAGCGCAAGAGCGATTTCAATTGTAAACCGTCGCATAGTAAAATATGGCACGAGACATCGTTTAAACCATGCTCCAAAGCTGCGTAATGTCTCGGCCATTAGAGGAAATATAAGACACACGTGCTTTCCGTTCGGGCCGGCAATTTCGAAGTCATCTAGTAGATGGCAGATGAATGGGTAGCCCGCCATAGTGGGCTTGCCTTCGCGAAGGTGTCTCAGGATTTCTCGCTCATATATATCCTTATCCGTATAATAGCACTCGGCGCTCAACACTTTGAGGGCAACATACTGGTGTTCGTGGCCGCGTCTAGTGCTAATTAGCGCGCTGTGGTGCATCTCTCTTGCCTTGGAGTATACTTACTCGCGGTTGGTGTCCCGCACCAACCAAACTGTGGAATAGACACCATACCCGAGCTTGTTACAGACAACATAGTGGTCATTGAATATGTCATCGACGTAAACGGGATGAAATCCCCCGGGGCGGTAGGCACTATGGCCCTCTTCGATGTCGGACTTGTGGACAGACTCCTTATTATCCATGCTTGTTGTTTGTTCCCAACAGGCTGTGGTTTTGAGCCGACCCAGCGTCCGCTGGGGTGAGACGTGATAACGTAATTAGGATTCACTAGGGCGATGGAGTCCGCTGTAGGTAGACCTGTGTCCTCCCCTGGAGTTAGATCATCCATGTAGCCTAACCCGCTATTTATTAGCTCATTTCTGCTCATAAGGTTCGGTGTTACCCGTGAGTAGTTTTGCGTTTAAATACTCAACAGCGTCTGCAGTCTCCTATAGCCGTACTACGTTATTCTAATTTATTTTTAGTACTTAATAATAACGGACTTTCAATCAAGGAGAACCAATAGATCCCGTTGTGACTTTGTTGCCTAGACCTAGCTCTGTAGGCTGCAGCCACAGTGCTAACACTTAGATCGTAATTGATGACAGCAGCTGTTGGTCACAGAAAGGAGCTTCTTCCTATATTACTGTGGAATTCCGGGGTGCAAATGGTGAACACATCACTACGAAGCACGTCGTCCGCCAAGGAAATGCGGTTGGAAGAGTTCTACCAATACTTTAGCCCAAGTGAATACAATTCGTGTTCCGAGAAGAGAATGTTGAGATTTGAGATATATATGATCAGTATAAACTATAATCTCCTTATGAAAAAGCAGCAGGCCAGCGCTTCATCAGAATTTTCGCGACGCCTCCAATATCCTGGGCTTTATCGCTAGCCTCTGGGTTATATCCGCGGTACTGCCAAGATAGCTCAAAATGACGAATTTTGTCATTCAAAGCCGTCTCATCAAGGGCAGTACCTTGCTCCCTAGCGCTCACAAGGCTATTGATGAATATTCTCCACCGCTCACCATAATACGATTTCACAATACCGGACCAAGCTTTTGCAGCGTAATCATCAAGGGCACGAGACTCAGTGCTCCAGACGGTGACCTGGCTGCGAGCGTTGAAAGCCACTGCATCGGGAGCACCAATACTCTGCCCCCAAGACTCAGCACTATTGAGCCACTTTTTGAACGTGAAATGTTCGTTGGTGTTGAGAGCCATGTCCAAATCCTCTATGAAGGATAGCATAGAATTACCCAAGTCTTGGATTACCGTGGCATTCGCAGTGGCTTGAAATTGGTTGACAAGGTCTGTGTAGATGTCGATAAAGGCGTTACCTAAGACCTGTCTTGTGACATCAACAAAGTCTAGGTGAAACGCAGGAATCTGAAGGAGCCCTGGACTATCAATGGTGGAATTGTAAAAAAGATGCCAGATGTTCTTCATGACTTTTGGGTCATACTGTAGGGCGGTGGGCGGTGGATAGTGGCCAGTGCGGTTTACCAGTCCCTTGAGAGAAGGGAAAAGTTGATAGACAGAAACACCGACGGAGGGTATAGCATTGTCTTGGACGTCATACGCATGCTGTCGAAGCTGCTCCCAGGCTGTAAAGACATCCTCTGGTATAATCCCTGCGGCAGAGTATCGGTTCCTAGCCCATGCACGGAAATAATTTGCCGTATCAATCGGAGAGCCTTCCCACGCTTGATCGAGCAGTATGTCATACACAACCTCATTGCCTTCATAGCCCTCTGGAGTCAGGCCATACCCAACAATCGAACCAGACTCTTTGAGAGCCTGGACCGAATTTTGGGTAACATTGGTAATTTTTCCGTGTAAAGCTTGGTTGCCGCCAAAATCGTGCAACTCACACCAAATCCAAGGGCGACCGAAATAGCTCCTCGTTCTCTGCCATTGAGGTTGGCTTTCGCTGAAAAGATCTAGTATGATCATATCGTCCTGCCCTGGTGGCCCGGCGAGGTAGGCGTCTACCCTCTGCTGCGTCCAGAAGCTTTGACTCGAGTAGAAAAGCCATCCCTGCATGAGCCAGATGGCGGCTGGGTTTGCTGCAGTAATACCCTTGTACGTACTAGAGGAGACATCGGTGATGTACTTTGTATCGCCAGAAGAAGGGTTTATCTCGTTGAATTGGTCAACTGTGTAGACGTTGGTGACATTCCCAAACTCCTTGATCTGATTTTTAATGAATAGGCTTTGAAGCTCGGCGTAGGTCTTGTCGGTCGGGTTGAGGAACGCAGTTGCTGTATTGTTCCTAGGGACATCAACCCAAACGGGCGCCTCCGCAATATTGACATCCGGGCGAAGCTTCTTTAGTGCAGCGGGAACGAAGCCAGGAAATCCGGGAAGTACAGGCGTAATACCAAGCTCTACCATACGAGCGACAATCTTTTTCTGTAAAGCAAACTGCTGGTTGATCCATTCAGCGGAGAGCCGGCCTTCGCCGCCCCAAGTACCGTGAATATTCCCGAAGCGGTTCCATGGCTGGAAAGCCTCGCCGCTAAAAAAGTCAAGAATATCGTCTTCCTCCATGCCAAGCTGGAGAAAACTGTCCAGGAAAATCTTTTCGTAACCGACCCAAGCGAGCTGCAGGTTGATACCCCGCAGCGCAGCCCAGTCAAGTAGCTTCTCCCAGTCAGACCAGGAGTACCAGACAAACGTGTAACCAAAAGTGACTAGAATCTATTAGAATAAGACGGTGGCAGAAGGTACATGTCATGAAGATGGCGTACCTGTGTTCAGATTATAGCGCCACGGTACCGTGCTAGCTCCAGTAAGCACCTCTTTAGGGAGAGGAAGTTGTTCCGGGATGTTATAGACGCCGTCCACAAACCAATGCTCGTCCATGTTGAGGGCATCTTTTGCGTAATGGCGCAGCCTAAATTGTTTTTTTTTTTTAGTAACGCAGTACTTGTTATGCAACACAGGATTATGATGATCGAAACTTACGCTCGTGCCAAGGCACTCAGCGTGGTGCCTTGGACGCGAATCTTCCCATTGTTGGACGAAACTGTGTAATTATCATTACCTGGCGTATTCCAACGTGACCAGTTCTCATGCTTCTGCGTTAGCTGGAATTCAAATTGAGCATCATGTCCCTTGAACAGACGTTTTGCGAGACCCTGTATACCAGTAACGGAAGCTGCTTGCTGCGCATTGACTGTCGCCGCTGCAAGGGCTGATAATAGGATCTGCGTCAACTTCATTTTCATGATGTTGTTCGGTTCCTTGCATCTATCAATCGGACTCTATTACAACCCTCTATTTATATATACCTAGTTTGCAATCTCTACCCCGCTGTTGCTCTTCGTATTTCACATGTAACGTTGCTGTTCTCAGGTAACTTGCGCCCATTTCCCCCACAGTCTGACCACGCTATCTTCAAATTTAGTTCCTGATTGTTATCATCTCAACCACTATGTCTGTACATAGTTTTGGTCTCCACTCCCGTGTTTTCTTATTAGCCACCGAAACTCTTTGTCGTTGCCTATTCTGCGTTGTGTTTTCTCGGAGTGTGGTCATACAATTAACTTTCTGTGAATCACGCCATAGATCTCAATCAAATTTGTTATCCTATCCTTGGCCGGACCTCCCGTTGAGTTTTACATTGTTACCTGTCTCATATTGCGTAATCTGCCACGTAGTTGCGAGGTTGTCCGCTCCTTTGCATGCAAGAAAGGCATGCTGATGCTGCCAAATGCGGCGGTTTCTGTTGTCCGCTGACACGCACAATACGATCTACTCTCATTTGAGTTCCCAAGTGCGCATCCGCCAATCTCCGTCGAGACAAATCAGCTTGTTCTCTTCTTCGAGGAAGGCCTCTGCACTTGAGAGTGTCGCCAACTGCTGCAGTTCCGGCGGCCGCTGGAATCTCCACTTCCAATTGCGCTGCCTGTCCCAGACAAAGACGGTATGGTCAGTAAGTCGGACGAGAAGCTTGCTGCCCTTTCGATCAAGCCATTTCAAGCTCGTGATGTCGCAAAAATCGTCGCGTAAACTACCGTCGCTTTGCACCTTCATGACTTCTGCGGTATTGTTCGTGGCAACATCCCATAGGATGACAGAGCGATTGACCACAAAGGTAATGACGTCGCCGTTTGGAGACCATGCGAGTGGTGTATACCAGCCTCTGAAACCCGGCATCTCAGCTTGCAGGATTTTGTTGCCAGTCGCAACGTCGTAAATTGCAAGGTGTGGTGGACCGCTCCGGCTTCTACCAGCAAACACAATCTGTTCTCCATTGGGTGAAAAGTCGCCCGTCCAGTTTTGTCCGTCAGCGATTTGAACGACGTGAGTGACTTTGCCTGTCGCAGCGTTCCAGATTCGACAGCTCTCATCCCAAGATGCCGATGCTATGACGTTTGGGTCGGCGGGAGACCACGAAGCCCATTTGATGGAATCCTGGTGGCCTTTGAGTCGGCAGACTTCGGTAAGAGGACTCGAAAGAGAGCGAATGACGAGCTGTGGGAGCCAGTCGCTTGGTCTCGGCCAACCCTGCGTTGTCATGCTTCGATCCGAATGCATGAAATGAGACCCGTTGCAGCGCAGAGCGTTTGCGCTTGCCGAGAGGAATCTACCTTCGAACTGAATGGGATTCTCTGTATCGCCAATAAGCTTCCCGTCTCCATCAAGGTACCATGCAATTATCATGCCATCAGCGCCTGCAGGCTCCGAGTCCTGAGACAAAACCACGTAATGGGCGTCTTCGGCGTCGTCGCTGGGCAACCTCCAGAATTGAATGGCTTGAATTGTCTCTTCGTGTCCATGAAACTCGGCCGTTATTATCTTCGACTCGGCAGTATAGATCCTGATGACGGCATTGGTTGCAACTGCCATAAACTTCCAGTCTGGACTCAGTTTCAGCTCTGCGCTCGACTTCTCAGCCAGTTCTGACATGGGGTCGTCGTTATTAAGCTCGAATACATCTCCCTCATCTCCCCAAAGCTGAGGACCGCCGTTGGCTGAGGGGGCCCATGCAGCCTCTACGTCGTCGCGATCAAACTCTTTGTCGAGCTTCAGCTCATAGGTTTCGATGAACCGGTCAAAGTCCATGTACTCTTCCGCCATGGCGCTAGCTTTTCTGCTACGACTTTAATCGGTGAGATATGCAGCTTCTGATAGAGATAGGTCGACGGTGAAAGTGAGAGTTGAACTTTTGTTTGCATGTCACCACATTGTCACCACTCAGCCCAAGAGGCGGGGTTGGGTAGCGCCCGCCCACCCGCGCAACACAGGAAGACAGTAAGCCAGCATCGCCCAGGTGATGTCACATCGGCGCCTTGTAAGCAGTAGATTGACTAGGGAAAATTTGATGGTGACAAGGGAGTCCGAAAGAAGGGGTGTAAGCATTGAAACCAATGATTAAGCTTTAACGACATCAATCTTGCCTCATACGGACACATGGCATCCACTGACTGCACTGTACATGTGCTTGAACTTGTACTTGCATGCACAGGTAATATAGATAAGACTACTGAATATCTGTAACGCATACATTCGGCTGACTGCCTTTCGATCGCCTGCCGTAGTCTTATATGAGACTTCTACGTGTTGATCCAGCACACTTGATTTCTGTCCTCTTTTCCGTCCCTCTCTTCTGCATCGTCTCAGTATCCGCTCATCCTCTTCTCATAATGACCTCGCCATCTGAAACCTCAAGCTACGCCCGCAGACAGCTAAGCGTAGGCTCCGTGCCATGAATAGGTAGTCCGGACCTGGCAAGCGCTGGATGAACGCGGGTTGATAACAATGACTCTCTGGTTACCCTTTTCGCACGAGTGGTGCGGCCAAATTGTATACCTCAAACGCTTGGCCGCGTCCAAGTTGTCCGCCAATGTGGAGGCATAAGCACTGGCAGAGCTGATGCAGTTTTTAATGTAGTAGTTGTTGAAGTCACCCCTGCAAGTATTTTCATCGGAATGGTGGACGCCATAGTATTGAACGTCGCGCGATTCCAAAGCTCTCGTCTTAGCAGCAACATGATCAACCACCTTCTGCCCCGTGATGCCCATATTCACGGCATTCGAATGCTGGATAGACTTGACGTCAGTACTTGCGTCCTGGGTCTGGTCATGGAAATCGCTTGATTCAGCCGCGAGAGAGACGGTGTCTGAGGAGGATTCAATGCAGTCCCACAGCTCCTTGTCCGTAGTATCAATATCAATCGCACGACTGGTGGCTGGGATGACTACCAGAACACCCTCGTCTGCGTATGCTTTGTAGGCGGAGTCCAGGCCTTGCACGCATTTGGCGAATGTGGAGTAGCTCTGCTCATCGAGAGCATCTTGGCCCATGACGGCCAACATAGTGCTCGAGTCATCCAATGCTGGAGCTGCCATTGTTGCAGTGACTCCAGCCAAGACACACGCAAGTTTCATAGTAAACGTCGACATGTTAAGTCTTGAAGTTGTACAGTGGTTTTGGACAAAAGTTTACCTTGAAATGTGATATCAGATAGCAAGAGGGATATTTGAAGCGAAATGGAGACGGGCTTGATGAGCTACTTATATCACTCCAGATCTTCTCCTGCAGTTGCCTGAACAGCACAGATACTCTACTAACGCTCAAACGGAGCCAAAAGAGGATACGGCGCAGTAGGCAGAACTCGAATTATGTTAAAAAATCCTATAGCTGATATTTTCGCTATGTAGCTACCTAAGAAGACTTAGCTTCATGCACCGTCCAATGTTGTCTCGCTTCAGCTGCTTCTCGGCGTTGTTTTCGTGCACAAGGGTATGGCGTAGTATTACTGTCTGATGTTATATTGATGAGATAATGGTGTTTATACTCAACACCGCCCGCAGTCTAGATTGGCTCGACTTATTCAGGCTTGCCTAGACCTGCCTATCTTTTTACTTGTACCACAATATATTGCATATGCACGCCGTGGTCAGGCATCATTGTATTCGGCAAAATACCACATATTAGCACTAGGCACATCCATCAGTGCTGCATTATTCAAGCAACGCACGACTTGCAGCTTATCACCACATGCTTCCCATGCATTATAAGTCTCATTTCTCAATAAATTGCTGCTTTTCATCTTGAGCGCCATCATGAGTGCCTATAGATCGAGGCTTGTGACAAGCCTCCTACTCGAAGCTTTGTACTTCACTATGATCCAGGAACCCCGGGCGGGTATAATCTAGATCCTAACGCATAGCCTATATACCATGATAGATACCATTGCTCTTGCCTGACCATTTAGAGACCCCGTCTAAATAAGTAGTGGCGATCAAAGGACATGTCATATGCTGCATTACTCTAGCGCGACCTCGTGTCTCACCTATCGTTGGAAATATGCCGGAATACAAAAGCCCCCCGAAAGGACGATTCCGATGTTGTGTTTTTGTATTCGGTATGTATATGCTTTTGTTAATCATGTTCTCAACAAATGCAAAATCTTCACATGATGTTGGGAAGTTGTCGCACTGGCCCTGATGTAGTCGTTGATGACATTCGGCGCTCAAATTGGCGAACCACAATTAGATTGGCGACTAATCCTAGCGGCGACTGCGCTGAGAATAGATTCATTGGACATAAGCATGAGACATAAGCCACGGATTGGTACCTCAATTTGGAACTGTCTTGGAACTGTCTTGGACTAGTCATTCCTAGCTCGACTTGCTCAAGCATCGAACGATGAGCTGTTTGCTTGTAGGCGGCCAGTACGTAGGGTTGCCTGCTGCCTGCCTGCACTTAACCTTCAACTGCTTACGGGCGACTAAAGCGTAGATTAGCTCAAATGCATTTTCCTTATCGTAAATATGGCACGAGTAGGTGTAATGCTTCTCGGCATACAGAAGGCGGGATATGATGTATAGCGTATTTCTCAGAATATTAGCATGCAAAGTAACGTAGAATATAACCTAAACATGTGCAGATAAGATGCTTTATGCACAGATACGTACGATGTATCCGCACGACGGTATAGACCGGCCGAGACAGATCCGCTCTTATGCCCTGATCTTGGTTTTTTTTGGCGAAGAAGAAAAAAACCAGGCAGCGGGCCATAGTAGGCTAGACGGGCCGCACGATTCAGCACGCAAATTATGTACATATAATCCGTATACTTGATGGTTTGCCACGCTGTCTAGGGACCAAGTCCGCGGTGACTATGCCCTGCTGAGACCATGGCCCTAGACATTGAAGGCCTTAGCAAGTAACTGCATGTACGTTCACCTGGCATGGCGATGTCCGAAATCTCCACTTTTGACTGAAGCTATCGGCAATTGCATACACGTCGCAATAAAGCATAGGATTTCAGTTTCCTCTTGCTGTCCGCGTAGCGGAATAGCAGTGGCTGGCTGAGTGTGACAAAACATTGTAACATTGCAGTCACATTCGTTATCACTTACTAAGACATGAAATGTAACAAGCGAAAATAATGGCTCCCGCAGCTAGCATAGCTAGCGCCTACAATGGCTATTCAGATACAGTCAATCAATTCAATTGACAAGTGATTGGACTTGCACTGAATTTAAAAATTTACATGTTATTTATTCACGGGCGATGATTGGCGATGAGCGATTTCATTGGCTAATTCGAGGCTGGCAGCACAACCACAGTCTAGGTTGATCATCCCACTTTCTTTCGACCCAGTACCCGTACCCCATGTTGTCCTGCAGTCATACTTATTTAGCAAGTGGCTAGTAGCTGATGTGGACCCCCATAGAGCTCAAAGTTGGCGAGTTATTTTCATGGCCTATTTAGTTCTCGACGGCATCTGAACCGCGGCCATGTTTTAGACATTGCTCCAACGTGCCTTATCTATCCGTAAACTAGTTTGGGTTGTGATGCGGATAAAACTGCGTTTCGTGCCCATTCTCACCCACAGTTTTAATTCCAGTTGATGGCCCTCTCTAGTTTCGGCAACGCACCTGGTCAATAGTTCAACCAGTGTGGCAGATGTGTAGAAGCAACAGTTAAAATGACAGCCCTCTTTTACAACAAAGAAAAAAGCGTGCGAAGCGTACGTACCAGTCTTGCCACTACTTTTTTGCCTTCTTATTCCAGAAACACTATAAATTCAGAAACAAGCCCCGCTTGCCCGACTACTTCCACATCAATTCGAATTGTGTAGCAGGGTCGCCAGGAACAGTAACACTGCATGGGGACGCCAAGACGGGCTTGACGGGTTGATGGGCTAGTTATCCCGTGGGGCGTGGTTCGATGTGGAGGTTCGCCGTTTTTTTTTTCTTTTCTTTTTTCTTCTTGACACGCGCAATGTTCCCACAGCACACCGCCGCCGATGAGTCCGCCACGAAGAGCACGTATACCATTGCAGCGTAACCATTTTGGTGATTTTGATATAGAGAGGGAAAGAATTATCCAATTGCGTCTTTTCTCTCTGGCAGCTGTCATGGTACAGCAGGTGCAGCGAAACAATATGCAAAGATCAAAGAGAAGGGTAGAGAAAGCACATTTGTGAGTGGAATGAGCAGGCGCGCCGACTGGGACCCCGTCTGTTGACGAATTCAAAAGCGGTTGCGAAGAAAGCTTCAAAATGCAGCACGCAGGTAAATGACTTTGAATTAGTGCCGTCAAGATCGTATTCACTCGTACAAGTTCTTCAACGGCGCTCATCCCGCGCTTTCATCGATATCGTCTCCCGTTGCCCAGATGTGCGTAGGCTGTTTCCCATCGTGTATCAAACGGACACGGGAACGCTGTGTAACTTCGAACTTGCGCCTTTTAAAGCCCTCGACGAATAAAATGCGACGATTTGAAGCCCGCCTGTATTTAGGAGGTGCACCTCGAAGAAACTTACCTGCACCTGCGCGTTGCAGTGGCGCCCTCATACAGAGGTGATGCCTCTTCGCTCTCCTGCTGTCTTACCCATCTGCAGTTCGCCGCTAACACCTCCCTTTTCGACGCTAATAAAAAGTTTTAGCGGCCGCACCTCCCCAGAGCGGAGCGCTAATAAACAGGGCTCTGAGGAAAACCAGCACTGGTGAATCACTGGCGGCGAAAGATGACTTAAAGCCTCGCGAAGTAATTCCTTCTCTAACCTGTACTCATGGCCCATTGCATATTCGACCATCGGCCTTCTCGACCGCCCCCAGTCGTATTCCTTGAGCTTATTTCTCGGAGCCTTCAAACTGCATCTGCAGATCCGCCGGTACTTTTCTCACTGCGGTAGTAAAAAACAGGCTCTGGGCATTTCGGAACCGCCTCAGGATGGGTTGCTAAAGTTGTGGCCGTCAGGTCCGGCTGAGTCAATTCCTCATCCTCGAATAGTCGTGTATGGTGCGTTTCCAAAGATGAGACCCGATTTAGAGAGATTCTATACAGATACAAGTTAGTCATTGTTTGTCGATGTCGTTTTCCCTCCTCTAGCCACAGGTGCAACATACAGCGGATTGCTCGATTCAGAACCGAATGCTCGTGGCCATAGTCGGATAAGGATGAGTCGCATTGATGGCAAACAAGTGCAAATCAATCCAACCTGAATCTCAACTGTAGACCACCACATAATGTCCCACTGATCCCATGTTGGATTCGATGTCGAAGCATAGTTGCGAACTGACGCTAAACGTAGACAAGATATGACTGTGACACTAGGACGCCGAGTGTGAGCAACATGTCGTGTTTGGTGCAGATCCATATATCTTACCCAAAGCCAGTCATGAACATGAATCCAGCGCCGAGCCTTTTCTTCCAATGTAAATGGAGTTTGTGCAGCTGGCTCAAGGGAATCGACAACAACCAAATGTCTGACAAAACGCTCAAGGCACTATTTACCCAGCCAGCTGCATTGGTATTGGCGCAGTACCCCGTCATTGTAGCATCATGGACATGGTTCAGCTTTTCCCACTGGTAAGGGATTGGTAGGCATTGAAAGACGATGCCGATGCTGAAAGCCAAGGCCAAGGCGACATGAAAAGCCACAGTGCTCCATAGAAGGGCGCGTATGCCCCTTCCAGAGAAAATGTTGAGGTAAAAAAAAGTAAAAGTCAACTTCAAAAGAGCCATCAACACAACGTAGAAGATCTGTATGACATAAAAATATCGCCGAAAGGCAACCAGGGTTGGTTGATCAAGACCCCAGACATCGATTCCAAAACCATGACCAGTGATACCAAAGATTGATAGAGCCATGCTGACGAGGCCGACTGCAATAGCAGCCATCAACGTCCACTCCTCAGTGTTCAAGTGTTTTCGAACACTGAAAAATTGCTTATAAACCAACCGTAAAGACACAACTATTACTGTGACTGGTGTCATGGCAATGCTCAACATATTTAGCTTGGCAGCCTTGTTGCGGACCGGCGTCTGGCATTTCGTCTCAGTAAGGTTACGTGTGACTAGCCGCGAGGATTAGATTTGCAGGCGCGAAAACACGATATGTTACTTACATATAGCCTCAGGCATGCCGCATGCGCCCAAAACGCAACGATCAATCATTTTTTTGGTGTTTAACACACAGAGGCAGCCGTTGTCGAAAGTCGCACAGTGTTCCTGTAAACAGGGCACCTGCTCCAGTCAGCTGCTTGGACTCGGCTAAGTCTTTACGCATCTACTTACTGCGCAATAAGGCAACTCCGTCTCAGAATTTTCTCCGCGCCCGTATAGAGTGGGAGATGACACCCAAGATGTCGCAAAGCAAGCCGTGACAACGGACGGAGCATTGTTGACTAACACGGCCGTCATTCTGTCAATGTCAACACGGGTAGGCTTGCAACCATGCCTGTCCAAAAGAAAAAGAAGGTTGATGAGTGAAGAGCTGCAGATGATGGAGAACCCCGGCCTTCGTGGAGTAGATGAGATGATAGAAGTGCCACGGCAATGCAGAATGTGACTGCTCAAGAGGTAGAAATACTAAGACTTCACCTATCCAACGGAACAGTTGATACTTACTAATTAGCTGAAAATATATGCTTGATCCGCTAGCCAACAGACGCATCATGGAAAAGTATACACGATATATGTATTTTCATCTATGCCTGCATGTCCACTGGCGTGGTTCGGCACTGAGATACGCGAGTAACAAGACATGACCAGGGAGGTAGCCAGACACGGCAGGCCGGTTCCGCCCCCCCTCATTAAGCGATGATCACAGCTCACTCACGCTTTCACCAGTTACATAGTTAGTACAAAGACGATTCTTGTGCTTGCTGGGGGTTTAGAAGCATCAATTGCCTTTTAATGAGCTTTGTACACAGACACAACCGGGCATACCAACCCCGCAGTAGCATTTCGTGACGTGTAAATAGTACAGGCCAGAAACTCAAAGACAACGACAAGCTATACAGGCTGCGCTGTCACTCGGGCACCGTGCGTGGAGCTGCTACTAGGCCATGATCGTAGATATTCCGGGGACGATCCCGCTGTCTGTGGGCCAAACATTTCGCCGGCAGTTAGACAGCGCATCGGGCGCCGTCAAAATCCGGGCCTGGCTAGAATTAGCAATGCACGACCGTGCGGACCATTCAAAGAGGCTTGCTAATAAGTTGCTAGTCACTCGCGATGCCGACATCAGCTGATTTGGACAAAAGACGCAGGGGCCAGGGCTCTTCCGAATCTGCTAGCGCGAGCTTAGGCTAGTTGATCATCATTAGCCAGGACCTGCTGTGATAATTTTCCTGGTTCCTGCTGCCGGCAAACATGAGTAACTACATATTCGTAGATATAACGGCTAAAAAGCGCCAGAGTTGCAGGCACATTTTCAGTCAAAACTTGTGACGCCGCGCCCTCTATCCTCGTCAGCATCTTTGAGACATTCCATTAGGTTGACTTCAGAATTTTGATCATGCTTAGAGGATAGTGATCGTAGCAAGGCTGTCGTTAGTCGATTAGGCAAAGCGGTCAGCTTCACAGGCTGTCGGCACTAAAAGCACGTGTAACCAAAATGTGTAGTACTTTTGTATGGCTCTGCGTGACGCCGCTGGCGAATCGGTTTCCCCGCCCTCTCAACTACACTTGTCCCCAGCGTGAAGGATCCTCTCTGCCCAATGGCAAAACCGAATGGTCGCAACTCTGGCGAGATCGCACCCGTCGGCGCCGTCGAGGAGAGCAAGCGAGTCAAGCGATGGGCGCCCAGGAGGAAGACGGGCTGCGTCACCTGCCGCCGGCGCAAGGTTAAGTGCGACGAAGCGAAGCCCATTTGCGCCAACTGCGTGGCCACGCGACGGTACTGCGGCGGCCCGTATTATCAGGACTCGGCGCAGGCGACCGACATGATCAAAGACCTGGCCGTTGTCATTCCGCGCTTGCGCGAAACGGCGCCCAGGAGCGTGCGGCCGACCAATCACCGAGGTTGGGAGATTACGCCCGAGGGATGGGACGTTGTCGAGGCATTCGAATATCGTAGGTTGCTGTGCGCATCCGTCGTTCGTGCTCCATGTATAGATTCTGACCTTGTTTCTCGTGCGCACGCATTAGTTGGCCTTTATACAATACCACATAGCGTCGCCATGGATGTCATGGCGACACGGCCAGCTACGCCCGTCTCGCTAGCCGCGTATCCTGGCTGCGTAAACTCGGAATCCTTTCTCGCGCGCGTCATTGCCGATAGAATCGTATGGGTATCGTGCTGTCAACGTACAGCACTCAGCCCCAGCACACTACATGGAACAAGGGACCTTTGGCTCAAGTTTTACGATCTCATTCAAAATCACTTGCGCCAACTCAACTACGATCTTACACATGTAGAGGGTGATTTTTTGAAATATTTGATGAAGAAGCGAATCTTCGAAAGAATATGCGATTTGATGGAGGCTGAGGTATGCTTACTAACTTACGCATCAAGATGTGTTTGTTCTGCGATGAAGCTAATTGTACATCGATAGCACATTTTATGCCTGGGTGGCTGGCGAGCCCACTTCGACGGATACTTTGCACTCTTGAACATGTTTGGTATTCCAAAATGCATACCAACGGAAAATCCAGTCTTTGTCGACATGCTCCGATCCATGACTGTGTGAGTCTTGCCCGATATTGACTCATATGTCTCCGACGAGGAGCTGACTCCCAACTTCTGACAGCAACGCAGTCATCGGCAACAGCGTGTGCCGAGTCGACAAGCAAATATGTAGCATATACGAATTCGACGACGCCGAGCTTGTAAATCTGTTTGGACAGACGTGCTTTTCACCTTTTCCCTGTCCAAAGGCACTATTTGCCGAGATTGCGGCCATCAATCGCCTCAGACTTGCAGCCTCAATGTGCAAGATTGGTGCCATTTTGCCAGACGCCAACGCCGTTTTCGAGCGGATCAATTCGTTTGACCCTGCAACCTGGAAGGATACTGCCGAATTTGAAATACCACACACGCCAGAAGTGGTCCTAGTCGCCAGGATATTCCAACTCGCTGTCAGCCTATACGGCATACTGTCACTTGGGCTCGAGCACGCTGATGCCAGTGCGCCGAATTGGCCTGATATGACTACAACCACTGCGGAGATTATTATGCTGATGCAAAAGACACTAAAATCACCGAAATGCCTGGCCGTAATGACTTGGCCTTCAGCCGTGGCTGGTGTCGCTGTTGCCGATGGTCCGGATGCGACCCGAAACCTTCTTCTTGATATCCTAGTGCGGATCGATTCTGATGTTCTGGCCTACGGTATCGCGGCACATACCATTGAACGGCTCCAGACTTTTTGGCTGACCAAGAAAACGGGCTGGGAAAATTGCTGGAGCGACTTTTACCTCCTGTGGTAGTGAAACAGTTCGCGATCCGAAGATTGACAACATCAAACATAGGCATTGGAATAGAACATCTGATGACGAAAGGCTAGGTTATCACATCGCTGTCAGATACCCTGCTAGCCTTTGACGCGAAGCCAGCGTCATAGGGACGCCAGGGCTGCGGCAGCGGTCATTGCTGTGCGCACTGACTCGAAATTCGCCCAAGAAGACCCTCTGACCAATACTCCGATGGCAGGGTCCAGGCGGTGTTGATAGGGCGATGAGTATCACCAGGAATTGTATGCAACACACTCTCCTAGAGTGCAGCAAAATCTGCAGGCGCAACGATGCAGCGATGCAGTGATGCAGTGATGCAGCGGCCTCCGCTGCTTGAGAAGAGGCACCAGGGCGTATTGGCAAGACGCTAGTCTCGTGGAGTAGCCAAAATGCCGGCGTCATACCTCGCAATGAACATCTAGTTATACCGGAGGGAGAGAGGGTTTACTGGTAAAACTGGTTGTATATCCGGCCGATCAACGGGTTTGTCTGCAGAAGGTACTACGTTATTTAACTAGTTAGTTAGCGCATAAAGACGATTCGCGCATCGCCGGCCAGAAACCTTTAGTTCATCTGCAATCGAAAGGGGCACGGGGCAATACGGCCCACGGATACCTTCCCCATGGTGGAGAGGACAGGGACCAGGGGATCACGGCTCCGGTCCCGTAGGACGGTCTGGATTGAATGGCTTCGAGGATTTGCATGTGCCAATCCCACAAACTCGCGATGTGACCTGTTCGGACAACGGTAACTAACTGCATCGGGGCAGACGTAGGGTTAACGGGGCTAACAGAATACAGTAATTGTCTCTGACTTCAACTGCCGTTGTTCGCCATCAGACGCTAAATGTGCATCGTGTGCTTTGAGCTTTTTACTTTGACTAGCCGTCAAAATCGCTCACGTTGGAACTCCAGGTAATGTCTTGCCGCGCTCTTTTGTTTTTTTTTTTTTTTTTTTTTTTAACCTTTTTGTTGATGATTTCAACCAGATTTTTGTCATTCAAGCCATAGGCCAATCGGGTGTGAACACAATAGGGTGGGCATTGGCATCTTGTGAATAGCCCAGACAGGCGGAAAGCCAGGACTTGCTAGATATTATAAGATCTATCCAATGTTCCCTCGCTCTGAACTGCCATCTACATGCTCTGGAACTTCATAGTGTTGCGCAGCGTTCCGAGCCCACCGAAACTAATCTCAACAACGTCGCCGTCCTTGAGAAATGTTTTGGGCTCCATGAAGAGCCCAACGCCAGACGGCGTGCCCGTCATAATCAGTGTGCCCTTTCTCAGCGTGGTGCCCTGCGACGCAAACGAGATGAGCTGTCGGACGGTCCAGATCATGTCCGCCGTCGTCGACGCCTGCCGCCGCTCGCCGTTGACCCTGGTCTCCAGCGTCAGATCCTGGGGATCGGGCACGACACGAGGCGAGGCGATGACGGGCCCGATGGGGGCGAACCCGTCAAAAGACTTGCAAAACGAAAATTGGCCGCCCGAGACGCTGGCGGGCATCTGAAAATTTCGCGCAGAGACGTCGTTGGAATTGACGTAGCCGAGTACATACTCTAGCGCGTCTGCCTCGGACACGTCTTTGGCGTCGCGGCCAATGATGACGCCGAGCTCGCCTTCGTAGTCAAGCTGCGACTGGGCGACGGGATGGATCTGGATGGCCTCATCTGGTCCTGCGAGGGAGTCGGGCGGCTTGGCGAATATGACCGGGTTGTCGGCAATCGACAACTGGACGATGGAGATGTTAAAGACTTGAGTGCGTCCAAAGATTCTTCATTGCTGCGTACATTTGCTTCTTCGGCATGCTTCTTGTAGTTGAGGCCGATGCAGACGAAATAATGCACAGCAGGCAGCGGAGAGAGAACCTGAAGAGCAAGACTAAGCAGGCTGTACAGCCAATTTCGGGCACTCAAACTGTACCCTTTTCACAGTAGCTGTCCGCGTGGTCTTGGAGAAGCCATGCTCGAGATTGCCATCCAGGATGTCGACAGTAGCGCCGACCAGGTTATCCACGACCGAAGCGTCTGTGACGTCTCCATACTCGGTTGTGCCATCATCGGCTTCGAACCTGACCAGCCTTTCAAAAGTATGCTTCATCTCAAAGACGCGTTAGCTTGCCGAGGCTATGGAGCCAGTAATTGGTTTCGAGGAGATTTGAAGATGAGAAAGTAAATGTTGGAGCCGGAAGGGCGCCTTTTAGTTGATGCCATCGACAAGCTCCACTTTGTGACAAGTTAACTGTTAGTTGGTTATTCGAGAGGGGTAGCAGCACTGTCAGAGAAAGCTGTGCCAGAATGAGAGCATCTCCACATCCACATGCTCTTGTTTATGCTAAACTCTTGTTTATGCTAAAGCGGGTGATTTCAGTTATTTTCAGAGTCAAAGCGGTTCCGGGCATCTTGGTTATCAAGTTCAGCGTACTTTTTGGGGCTCGAAATGCCCACCCGCACTCGCTTGTAGTTCCGTCTCTGTCATCACGCGTAAAATGATTCCATGGGAGTGACTGCTCACACGTACACTTGGAAAGCATCGTCATGATTAAGCTAGCATAGATATACTTGTGAGCTCGAGATGCAGATCTATAAAGGCTGCTACCTGTGCTCATGACCAATAGCGGTATCGGTCACTAGTGTACCGTAATCGCACAGCATGCTTAGCTTTCAGCAAGGTCTGAACATTGGTACCAAGCCTAACTCCTTGCAGACTGGCTAACAATTAATTTATGGTTTCCATTTTTTTTGAGGGCATCCCAAGTTGGTACACGAAGTTGGTCGAATGAGGTATCGAAGCGGCCCTCCGAGGACTTTTTCTCTATATACCACATAGCCGTGTCGCGTACTGATTGCCAGTTTGGTGCAGCTCTGCCCAGAACACCATCATGGCACACAGCGACGTCGAAACCTTCTTGTACCCATGCTACGCAGTTCCAATCATGCGTATTTGATCTTATTGGGATATCGGCCAACAAGTTCATTAGCTTGTCGGTGCTTTTTATCTTAGCGACTAGTATGCGAACTAAGAGCTTTGTGGTGGGATTCTTGGTAAGATTAATATTGTCGAGTCTCCAGTCCGAGTTTTCGGTCGGCGGCTCGCCGATAAACTGCAGTGTATTTTTGACATGAATCTGCTGTCCACGATCTTTTAGTGATTCGTGCTTGGGTGCAATAATGAATGCCCAATGGTATCTTTTTGTTGTTAGTGATCAACATGATCTCTTCCATATATTGGAGCCAAACATACTTGTCTTCGCGCCCAGGCATCCGCACCGTCCCTGTTCTTGCAAATAGAGCAACGTAGAGACGGTCCTTGTTCCGCGACATAGTTTAGTGAAACGTGACAACACAGCAGGTAAGTATGGAGGGAGGACAAAAGCACCCGAAACGTCGGGAAGTCATAGGCAACAGCCAACGTGGCAGCACAACACTGGAGCGTGCAAGGAGAAGGCGAAAGCATCTGACGTCGTCGAGTAGGCAACAGCGACATGGCAAGCCAGACACGTGATATGCACCGAAATGCATGGTCACGAGAATGGGCAGCACAGAGCTCCATGGATTGCTATATAAATTAAAAGCTTTGCCATATCACTGCGGTATGTTACTCCTCGATCATCAAGCTGTGCCGCCATGGCTCCCAGTGAGCGTCTCTATGTTGCACTCTACGCCCGTGGAGGGCACCCCACTATGGCACAGAAAGAGATGGAGCATCGTTTCGACGGTCGTGCTGAAGGTGCATTCGATCCATTCAAAGTACCAACGTGGGACATGCTGGAGAATCGTGAAAGGCAAGCTTGAATTGTTCTGCCTCGTTTGGAACTGGCACAACATCAAAAGTCACCAAAGAACTTCTTTCTGGTAGCTTCCATCTTAAGGCTCTCGGGCTGTGGCTCTAAGAATTCATCCACCGCCTGTTGCCAAAATCGGTTTTGCGGATTGACATCCCATGCAGACGTATATTCCCAATAGGGTGGCATCCATCCAGCAGTTTCCCAGTCAATAATAGCCACAACTTTGTCTCCTCTGGCTAAGATGTTAAGACTGCTCAAGTCGCCATGCGTGAAAACAGGCTTGGACCATGGCCCCTCATGAAACCGTATGAGGTCCTTTAATTCCCGAGACACATCTCCTGGTTCTTTTACGTTTTCAAGTTCGATGTCCGCCCGAAGTTTCCGATGGAAATCACGAATCGATTTGAAAGGTCCCCAATGCGCTTGACCGGGTAGCCTTTGGTCGCAAATCGGCCCTCCTAGAAGATTAGATACGCAACTGTTCTCGGGAGCTGGTATGTTGCGTATTTCTTGAACCATCTGCCGAAGCTGCTTGAAGATTCTTTCTTTCGATTGTGCCGATCTTTGTATCCAACCAGCCGACAGGCTTCGTCCTTTTATTCTTTGCATGACGATATATACTTTGCCTTTATGCTCAAACGCGAGATAGATCTTCGGAACAGGCACTGTTGTTTTCGTAGAGATGAATTTCATAGTTTCAGATTCGGCTAGGGTGGTAAAATGACTCGATTTGATGCAGATGCGAGAACCAACGAAAATAACATTGCTAGGATGGTGAAATATTTGGCAGGCAAGCCGAGTTGTCATTATCCTGAAAACCAGTAAGACAACGGCTCGCGTTATCTTGTTGTCGACCATAACTAGCTTGTTTAATCATACTTTTGGAGTAGAAACAATGCATTGGAAGAACAGGGGCTGGAAACACAACATCCTCTCTCATGGTCCAGGGAGCGCGCGATGACTTAGTCAGCACTGTCAGTCCTTGTTGGTGATGGGAATCACGGGGAATGTGGGGAACGGCAGGGGAACGGCATCTGCCTGCATACAAACTCATTTTCTTTTATCATGCCCTCGTCGAATTTTAGCTCCTGTAACCATCGCTGCCATGTTACTGAGCATAGTTATGACATGAATTCTTTTCGCAAGCTAGAGTCGTTGGTGGAAGTATAAAGTGCGCATTCAGCCCCGAACCACATTGTGTTGAGGCAACTTTTCACGTCCGCATGGTTTCAGAAAGCAAAAGGTCATTTTGCCCATGACTGTACAAAGTCGGTTCGACATGTATAATTTTCCAACCTGGCGAGAGGTAGGAACGGCTTGGATTCAGACAGTCCCGGGTCCAAGCACAGCTGGGACAAAGCATGACCGCCGAGAGGCCGCCGACAACAATGTCGCTCATAAAGCCGCCCGTGAGAGCGCCTCGACCTCTGGGTTTTCATTGCCAAGACACCAGCACAAAAGGTTCATCACCCAGCCTCAAATTCTGACAGACTAAATACAGTCGAATTTAGCCAGTTTTATTAGGCATGTGGTGGCGCCCTTTTGCGTGGTACTTTTTGCTTTGCTTCGCCACGATGGTGCACTTGGCGACAGCGCTAGCGACGTGATGCGCCAGCTGGTTGGCTGCCGATGGAGAAGAGCTGCATGAGATGGTCGATTGACCCTGATGATTAGATGAGGCTGGGGGGAGAATTTTTCGTCGCTTCTTGTTTGGTCTGAAAGAGTGTGAAATCGGGCGCTTGGGACTCTGCTGCTTGCTGGAGTGGTGAGGTTGGATCATCATGAGCTGTAGGCGCCGCGCTAGCTTGCCTTGTTCAGGAAGCTACCTAGTGATGCCTCGCTGAGATCAGCTTGGGCGATGACCTCGGAAAAATTCCTCCGCCTTGCACTGCCTCGTTCGCCCTCAATCGGGTGGTGTTCCCGTTGGTCAAAGTCGGAAGGTTCAATGTCTCGAGGCATGGTGCAGCTCGGCTGCACGACCACCACATGTGCTGTGGTGCAAGATGTGTGCATGCAGCAGCAGGACATTCTCTCTCACCGGCAGATCTGTACAAAAGATGCAACTAAATCGCATCAACCATAAAACAAGATCGTTTTCAATTAGTTCCTACGTTCTTCTTGACGAGTCAAGGAAACAACCCTGCCTCATAGCCGCCGTGTCCATTGGCGATATGCTGTTCTACAACTCGAATACAGCTTCCACTGTCGAGTACTTGCAATGGACAGCAACACATTGGCTTTTCCAGAACCCAAGGAGGCTGGCAACGATGTCAAAACGACCTTTTGGTGGCAGATGTTTTCTTCCAGTTCATTTATTCCAATTTATGAACCCAATGGCTGTGCAAATGCCACAGATAAGGCAGCTCGTTGTATCTTCAAGCTCTGATACACTGAAAACACAGAGATCAGCAACCACAGCTAGTTTGTGCCAAGAAATTCTCCCTTTACCCTGACGTCATCGGAATTGTCAAGTGAATAGATCGTGGCTATGCTGGAACATATTACCCCTCAGGTTTCTTGACCACGAGCTCGCAGCCTGTGAGCCTGTCACTCTGTGTCTCAAGGTGGCAAGTCGCCCCAGAAGCCACAGCTGAAGCGCCGCCCACGAAAAAAACTAGACTAATACCAGAAAACGGGACAAGCGACGGGAGAAAACCATCGTAGATGCAAAAATTAAGCTCATGCCGCGGATTGTCAGACCTTCCGTTTCGGGCTCGGTCCGCCAAGGGTTTTGCCTCTGGGAAGCCAAGCCTTCTCGCGTGCCGTTTACACCATCGCTTCCAGCCAGGCAGCGGGCCCATGTCTCGCGAGTTTGTTTTGCTCAGCCTCCTTCTGCCAGGCATTAATATTGGCCGGCCAGCATGCCTCGCAGAGATGATTTTGAGAACCAGAAACAAAGAAAAGTCTCAATAAATACGGTGTATCAACTGTATTTTTTCGGGGTTTTTCCTCATCGCAAAATTTGATTGTCCATGAAGAAGACTACACCCACAACTTGTCCCATAAGCCCCCGTTCGCCATGGCGAGCAGCACCTTGTCGCCCGACACCATCGAGGTGACCCCCCGCAACCGGTCCCTCAGCATCACAGACACCTTGACCTCGTCCACCCTTTGCGACCCGTTCCTCACGCCCAGCACGCTGAGCTGCGCCTCGATCGTGCTCGAAGACCCTGAGCTCGCACTTCGTCCTGATCCTGGCAGCGAGGCCGACTTTGAGGTTGCCGGCAACCCGTTTGCCTTTTCGCCGGGTCAGCTCAACAAGCTCTTGAACCCAAAGTCACTTTCCGCGTTCCAGGCCCTCGGTGGGTTAGACGGCATCGCGCGCGGCCTCCGCACCGACATCAAGGCTGGGCTCGGCCTCGACGAGACGGGCATCGTGGAACCAATTTCCTTTCACGACGCTGTCGGCAAAACCAAGTCGGGGCTTGCTGCACCTTCGACTTTGACACCGTCGCCTTCTTCTACAACCGAAGCTTTTGGCGATCGCATTCGCGTCTTCAAGCGCAATGTGCTGCCTGCCAAGAAGGCGCCGCCCCTGTGGAAGCTCATGTGGAATGCGTATAACGACAAGGTCCTCATTCTCCTGACTATCGCTGCAGTTATTTCACTGGCGCTTGGCTTATACGAGACACTTGGTGTTGACCACCCAGACGGCGCCCCCGCGCCTGTGGACTGGGTTGAAGGCGTGGCTATTTGTGTGGCCATCATCATTGTCACTGTCGTGGGCTCGCTGAACGACTGGCAAAAGGAAAAGGCCTTTGTCAAGCTCAACGCACGCAAGGATGACAGAGAAATCAAGGTGATTCGGTCCGGAAAATCCTTCATGATCAATGTCCACGATATTCTCGTCGGAGACGTCCTGCATCTGGAGCCCGGCGACCTGGTTCCGGTCGATGGCATCTTTATCGAGGGCCACGATGTCAAGTGCGACGAGTCCTCTGCCACTGGCGAGTCGGACGCCCTGAAGAAGACGGCAGGCGCCGAAGTATTCCGCGCCATTGAGTCTGGACGGCCGAAAAAGGACCTTGATCCCTTTACCATCTCTGGTGCCAAGGTTCTCGAGGGTGCGTACTTGAACGTGTCTCAACCGCAGCGTAATCACTAATCATTTACAGGCATGGGAACATTTGTATGCACATCTGTCGGCGTCAACAGCAGCTTTGGCAAGATTATGATGTCCGTCCGCACCGAGACCGAAGCTACACCTCTGCAGAAGAAGCTTGAGAAGCTAGCCATGGCCATTGCCAAGCTAGGTAGTGCCGCCGCCGCTTTTCTATTTGTCATTCTCCTCATTCGCTTCCTTGCCGACCTCCCCGGCGACACGCGCGATCCTACCACAAAGGCCTCTGCATTCATGGACATTCTCATTGTCGCCGTCACCATCATTGTAGTTGCCGTTCCTGAAGGATTGCCTCTTGCCGTCACGTTGGCCCTGGCCTTTGCCACTACGAGATTGCTGCGCGAGAACAACCTGGTGCGTGTGCTGCGTGCGTGCGAGACGATGGGCAATGCGACGACAATTTGCTCGGACAAGACTGGCACCTTGGTAAGTCAAAACAGAAATCTTCCAAACAATGATAGTCTGACAAGTTCCTATTAGACGACGAACAAGATGACAGTCGTTGCTGGTACCTTTGGCTCGACCAGCTTTGCCAAAGCCACCGAGTCCGAAAACGAGCAGACCCTAAGCCAATGGGCCTCTGCGCTGCCACAAGCCGCCAAGGACATGATTGTGCAATCCGTCGCCATCAACTCGACCGCGTTCGAGAGCGAGGAAGATGGCAAGGCCGTCTTCATCGGCTCCAAGACGGAGACGGCGCTCCTTCAGCTGGCCAAGGACCACCTCGGCCTGCAATCGCTGCGCGAGGCGCGCGCCAACGAGCATGTCGTGCAGATGATGCCGTTTGACTCGAGCAAGAAGTGCATGGCCGCCGTCATTCAGACCGGCACCGGCTACCGTCTCCTCGTCAAGGGCGCGTCCGAGATTCTGCTCAAGTGCTGCTCCTCCGAGATGACGGAGCCGCAAGCCGCGCGCTGCGAGCCGCTCACCAAGCCACGGGCCCGTGCTCTCCGCACCGTCATTGACAGGTATGCCAGCATGTCGCTGCGGACCATTGGCCTCGTCTACCGCGACTTTGCCGCGTGGCCGCCCTCGCAGGCCGACATGGTCGACGGCGAGGTGCAGTTTGCGTCGCTGTTGCGGGACCTTGTCTTTATGGGCGTCATTGGCATACAGGACCCCGTGCGTCCGGGCGTGCCGGAAGCGGTGCGAAAAGCGCAGCACGCCGGCGTCGTTGTCCGCATGGTAACGGGCGACAACGTCATGACGGCGCGTGCCATTGCGACAGAGTGCGGTATATGCACTGAGGGCGGCGTCGTCATGGAGGGCCCCAAGTTCCGCAAGCTTTCCGAGGACGCCATGAACGAGGTGCTGCCGCGGCTGCAGGTGCTGGCGCGCTCGTCACCAGAGGACAAGCGCGTGCTGGTGGCGAGACTCAAGGCGCTCGGAGAGACGGTAGCCGTGACGGGCGATGGCACAAACGACGCGCCAGCGCTCAAGGCTGCCGACGTTGGCTTCTCCATGGGTATTTCGGGAACCGAGGTTGCCAAGGAGGCGTCTGCGATTGTGCTCATGGACGACAACTTTGCGTCCATCATCACAGCGCTGAAATGGGGCCGCGCAGTCAACGACGCCGTGCAAAAGTTTCTGCAGTTTCAGATTACGGTCAACATTACCGCTGTTCTGCTGGCCTTTATCACGGCGCTGTATAGTTCCGAGATGAAACCCGTGCTTCGGGCCGTCCAGCTGCTCTGGGTCAACCTCATCATGGACACATTTGCCGCCCTGGCCCTGGCCACAGATCCGCCTGCGGACAAGATCCTCAATAGGCAGCCTCAAGGCAAGAAGGCACCACTGATTACCGTCAATGTAAGTTCCTTCTTCTATACTTTCTGCCTCCTTTTTTTCCAGACGCCAGACTAACCACCATCCTCAGATGTGGAAAATGATTATTGGCCAGGCCATCTTCCAGCTCGTCGTCACGCTCGTCCTCTACTTTGCCGGGCCGCAGATCCTCAACTACGACGCGTCCCGGACCGTCGAGCTCGACACCATCATCTTCAACACATTTGTATGGATGCAAATCTTCAACATGTTTAGCAACCGCCGCCTCGACAACAAGTTCAACGTGCTTGAGGGCCTGCACCGCAATCACTTCTTCATCTTCATCTGCGCGCTCATGGTCGGTCTGCAAGTCACCATTGTCTTTTTCGGCTCCCGCGCCTTTGGCATTGTCAGCGGCGGCCTCGACGCCGAGCAGTGGGCGCTCTGCATCGTCGTCGCCTTCATGTGCCTGCCCTGGGCCGTGCTCGTGCGTTTGGTCCCGGATGCATGGTTCGCCGCCGCCGCGAGCTTCCTTGGCGGACCTGTGGCGGCGCTGTACCGCACAATGGGCCGGGGCTTTAGAAGGCTGTTTCGCAAGAACAAGGGCGACGAGAACGTGGTGCCGGTGCGCGACGTTGAGGCGGCGGTCCCCGAGGTTGAGGTCAAGGAGCCTGCTGTTGCGCCTCCTGCGATTGTCGTCTCCGAGACACCACAGGTCCTGATTACAGGGCCAGAAATGGATGAGAAACGAGAGGATGAGAAACGACAGGCATGATTTGTATTTTATATGTATTTGCACGCTTGGCGTTGGGGTTTCTGTAATTGTTGGTCCCGTCAGGGAATATAACGTATGTTATCACGGGTTGAATCGGCTGGTGTTTTTTGCTTGTTGTGTTGATCTTGTGCTGCAGCCTCTGGCCTGCAGTGATTGATATAGACTTTATCAAAACTTATAAAAGTTCAACATGTTTCTCTTTTTCATTGCTCGCGTCATCATCAACTACTATGTACTTTTCCCGCACTCCACCTCGTCCCCTTGCATGTCAACTTGCACAAGAATTCATCTCAAGACACCTCCTCAAAAGCATGCTTAATGGATCGCACACCACTCATGCCCAGCGTATGGTTGTGATTGTGCCCCTCATGACCATGCTCATCGTCGTCGTCCCCCGGCTCGCCCGCCCAGTCAGGGAACCCGTCATCAAACAGCTCCTGCAGCGCGTCCTTTAGCTTGTCCAGGTCTTCTCCATGCGCCGGGTCGCGCATCACGCGCTCCCAGTCCGCCATCTCCGCGTCAGTCAGCAGACACTCGTCCAGAAGCGCCTCGACGCCCTTGTGATCGAGCCCTTCGCCGATGAAGACGAGCTCCTGACGGCGGTCCCCCCACTCGCCGCCCTTGTTGATATCGTGCTGCACGAGCGCGTCAACCTCGGCGTCGCCCGTCGTGTATTCTTCGGCAGGCAAAGTGCAGAACCACGGGCGGCCGCCAGCCATGGTGAGCATGGCGCCGGCCTGCGACCATTCACCCGCGCGGTGCGGCCGCGTGGCGAGCAGAAACTCGCCCTTGGAGCGGAAGAGCCGCGAAAAGGTAGGGTGTGCGCGCTTATTGACGAGAATTTCCTCGTTGGGCGGCATGTCGAGCGGGTCGACGGCCATGGCGTCATCATCATCGCTGCTCGCGGCAGCAGTGCGTTGGGTGGACGAGGACTTTTGCTTGTCTGAGGGGCGAGGGGACGGAATGGTCTGGGCGGTTGTGTGCGAGCTGCCAGCAGAGTATGCGGAGCCTTCTTGGGCAGAGTTATTGGAGGAACCGACGCTCTGGGCATCATCTTGCTCAATATCATGCATCTCTTGATCCTCTTCCTCGTCGTCTTCATCGTCTTCGTCCTCATCCTCGTCATCCTCGTCATCCTCGTCATCCTCAGTCTGCTCGAGCTGCAGGATAAACTTGTCGTAGAGTAGTGCAAAAAGACGGCGTGGGTGAAAGGGACGCTGACGCGAGTAGATGAAACTTTGGACGTTGTACTCTTCCGTTTCGGGCTTGGGGGTGACGACGTTCTTGCCGTTGACCTCTCGGACCGTCATGGCGTGCAGGTCCTGCAGCCAGCCGTAGCCGGCCTGGGCAACGTCCATCTTGAACAAGCCTGTGTTGACGAGCTGCTTGACGTCGACTTTGCCGTAGCTGGATTCTAGAATCTTGGCGCGGTGGTTGAGCTTCTTGACTAGGTCCACGATGCGGGTTCTTGTTTCCTTTGAGACCTGACTCGCTGTTAGAGCTATATGATACTGTAGGGGTATGACCGGAGAAAACATACCATGTCAATTTTGTTGAGGATTATTATGTCGGCGAATTCAATCTGATCAACCATGAGGTCGGAGACGGTACGCTCATCTTCGGGAGTCACGTCGTCGCGCCGAGCAGAAATAAGGTCGGCGGTGTCAAAGTCGTGCAGCATGGTGAATGTGTCAATGACGGTGACGGTAGTGTCCAGCTTTGCAAACTTTTCCAGACCACCAACTTCTTTGCTAATGACATCATTAGTACCGACACTATGTGCTGCTTGAAGTGGCGTCACTTACAGCTGCTCGAGCACCTTCAACATGTCTTCGTCGAGGCCCTCGCCGCCCTCGTCGACGAGCTGGCTCATCTGCTCAGCCAGCCGACTATCAAAAGTCTCGGCTACTTGCTCGGGCTCGCTGATACCGCTGCTCTCGATGATAATATAGTCGAAGCTTTGCAGCTGAGCGAGGCGAACAAGCTCCTCGAGCAGGTCGCCGCGGAGGGTGCAGCAGATGCAGCCATTCTGCAAGGCAATGACCTTTTCGTTGGTTTTTGTGATGCGGTGAGTCTGCTTTATCAGGGAGGCGTCTACATTGATGCTGATAGAAGAAGAGTGTCAATGTTGTTTATAGAGGGAGGGTTTCAAAAGACTTACGCGCCAATGTCGTTGACAACGACGGCGATACGGAGGCCATGATTGCTTCTTAGAATGTGTTGCAGAAGAGTGGTTTTACCAGATCCCTGGCAATTTTGTTAGACTCGTGTAGCGTTTGTGAAGTTGACGAAGCAAGTGTTGGCTCACCAGGAAACCAGACAGTAGAGTTACTGGAAGAGCCTTGGGAGGCACCTTGGTTTTTTGGGCCTTGGAGGCCTTTTTGCTCTTGCTTATCTTGAATTTACTGCCCATTATGTATTCTTCACACAACCATGTAGTTGGGATGAGAAAAAAAGTAGTGATTTGTGACAAAGTTGAAAAAAGTGTGTAAAACAAGCAGGGCAGGGGCTGGCCGAAGCTATATATACAATGGATTTTACCAAACGCACAAATAATTCCGGGATGTAAGCCGCCAAAGACAACCCCGAGCTACAGTCAAACTCGGCTTTTCTGCACTGCACAGGCCGTATGCATTTTGACACCTGCTCATCAAGGTCGACAACGTATTGGCCATCAGGGTGTAAAGGTCGTGATAGTTTCGGGGCGCGCTGACATTCCTGGCGCAGTGATTGGCTGAGGGTTTCCAAATCGGGTATCTGGCCCCAGGACGACATCGGCGCCGGGGCCAGGGGCGTTACAAAGCATGTTTCGCCGTTGTTTTTATTGGACGGCGCAGGCAAAGAAAATTGATCAAGGTATGGCGAGATAAGTAAGGGGATGACGCTCATTGGCTGAACAGAGTGGTGGCACCCATTGCTAGGCAAACCATCGCGAAAAACACCATAGCGGTTCTCAAGAGGTGCATGCCAGCTAGGGCCGTAACACCGTTTTAGCGGTTGCGAATTGGTCATCTACGGTTCGCGGATTCAGGTATAAAAAGGTGTGGTCGCGGCAGCTGTTTTGGGAGCCAGATGTGTGTACGTGATGCTTCGCCAGCGGAAAAAGGGATGTTTCAGCTGTCGGCTTCGACCTACGGTGTTTGTCAACACATACGATATACGCTCGAGTACAACAAGGTTGCTGTATATCCACTTTGGGCGACACGGCGCAGGGCCAAAAATTGGAGGGCAATTGCACCGAGCATCGCAGAGGCGGTGCGTTGAGCCAGACTTGCGCAGGCCGAATTACGGCAGCCAAGCCGAAAGGCACCAATCCCGGTAGCAAGACGATATTACGAGGCTATCAAGGTCCGCCAATATTGATCAGGGTCTTTCGGCGTGCTGGTCGCCAGTCCAGGATTTCCCATTCGTAATCTTGTGCGTAAGGCATGGCAGTCGAGCATACCACGCAACAAAGAAGAGCATTGCCAAGAGACTGTCAAACATTACCAGATAATGACTTATTGAGAGGGCGAAAAACAAAAGAAAAGAGAAGAAGAAAAAGCAAGAACGAGATAGCAAGGGTTGCGTGGTGCTGGGTAACTTGCACTATTCAGCTAAGGGCTACCCGGAAGACGGGCGCAGCCAAACACGTTGCAGTGTGACAGCGTCAAGGAGCAGTGCATGCATAGGGGATCTTTTGAGGAGGGGTTTCTTGAAGACGAACTTTAAAGAGTAGCTTGAAGAAAGAGAGTGGTAAAGAACTTTTGGAAAGATGGTGGGACATTGACTCATGCATTGCCATGCAGTGGCATGCGTGGCCAAGCATGCAATGGTGTAGGACTCAAGGGGGCGGTAATAGCTGATGACTACAGCGTCTGGTGTGAATGACTAGCTCTCGTGTTACTGGCCGTTCCTTGGGTCAATATGTAATGCAGATAATTTACCCCAACTCTTGTTCGTGCAAGGACGGAGGCGGAGTCTGGAGAAGGTCCCTTTGGTTGGGCGACCCCGTGGGGATGGGCTGAGACTGGGACATGGGGTCGCCCAACCAAAGGGACCTTCTCCAGACTCCGACCTTGTGTTGCGAATTGCTCAAGTCGGCTGCTCTGGATAGAGAAGTGTCTACAAAAGTTCCGCATATTATGGTGTTGTGGAGGCAAGTTTCCATTTGACAAAGGAAATTGTGAGACCGCTCCAATTGCGATATGCCATTGCCATTAGGTAACTGGACAATTCCAGGGCGGATTAGCAGAGACCAACGCGTAGTGAATGAAGAGAGAAAGCGGCCGACAGCCTTGTTTTTGAGCCGCCAGAATTCCGTGGAGGAGGCCAAGCCGCCAAGATGTTGTGAATCTGGGAGATCGGCTTGGTTTTTCTCGGCGCAATGGAGTCTGCTCACGATACGGAGGTTGAGGTTGTGATGGCCTAGGAACAAGATGTGTACAGGGATGTGTCATGGTTGTAGACTTGGATGCAAAAGTTCCTGGAGCTTGCGGGCTGGATGGGCCAAATCAGACGAGGAGACATGATCTGGCAGGTTGACTACGGAGTAGGTAACTTTTGCTTGACTAGCAGACACGCAGAGCAACAAAAAGGCTCGGGCAATGTCTCGGAGCAAAACGAGGGGGCGTTGGAGGCGTTGGAGGCTTAAATGTGGCGTTGGAGGTTCGAGTGTGGGCTGTTTTAGCACTTTAATACGTACGGATTACCAAACAAATAATACCACACAAAGGTATTCGGCCGAGTGACATACAGCGGCAAAACGGTAAACTACAAGGTGATGAAAACAAAAGTCCTATGGTCTCCCTTGTTTCGGCGTCGGGATGGAATTTCCATGCCCACCCTTGCGTGGCTGCCAGGCAGTCAGGCATCCAGGCAGGCAGGCAGGCAGTCAGGCAGCGCTGGAAATTGTCTGTCACATCGCTGAAAAATGCCCTTTTCAGGTAGGTAGCGGGGCTAGCAGACTGGCTTCAGCGGACGAAGCGCTGCAAATATATAAAGTACAGCGGCTCATCCCCCTGTGACCCCGTGACCGTCCAATTCAACGTGCAATGCAACGGCTGGGCCCATCGCTAACAAGGCACCTCGGTTTTCGTTAGGTACTCATGGTTGGCTCAACCTGCAGGCTGCATGCCAATTCCTTTCATCACATCCTGCTTGCAAACAAACACCATCACCACACTGATCAGGCCAAGCCGCCTTGGCCGATTGCTCCGGCGGTGGCGTCGACTACCTTAGTTTTTCTGCAGCCCAAGCCGACGGCACAATCCTTTCTTTCCCTTGACCAGTTGGCTTTTAGCTGACCCGCTTCCTAGGTACGCCGACGCCACTGCCAGAGATATCCGACCACCCCATCGTCAGACAACAATATTCCTTTCGGCCCGTCGTTTGCATACGTTGGCTTCATGTCTCCAAAGAATTGACTGGCTAACAGGAAAAAAAAACATGACAACCCCAAGATGACAATAAGCGAACCGTCCCCATGACCCAATGACCCCATCTCCCTGTCTAGCGTCGGCTCGCGCCAGAGGGGCGAATACCATAATCGCCAAAGGAACCTTGATCGAGCTGTCAAATTTCCATCGACAGAGGCTATGTGTTGGTGTGTCGGGACTCGGTTCGGTTGGGGCGAGGTGCTGGGCCCGCCAAAGTTTAATCTTTGTGTGCCTTTGTACGGAGTACGGATTACGGGTACCCTTTGCCTGGATTGGTCCTGACCGACGCTTGTTTTATGGATCATCTAGGTGATGAGCAGCTGCAGCCTGCCTACCGACACCCGTTATTTGGGGGCGCTCACGCGTGATGCTCCATTATCATGCTTCATCCCCGCGCTCCTCGCTCTCCTCGCGCTCCCCACGTCCCTTGGGTCGCTTGAAACAAAACTCGTCTTCTCGACCGCTCGCCGCGATGCCACCTATTTCAATGCCTTTCTTGCCGGTTGGCATGCCAAATCCGGCCCTCTCTGCACCAGCTGACCCATGCAACCACGCGCACACACACCACACAACCCTTGCAACCATATCTTGCAATCATGCAAACCCCTAAATAGCTTGACTCTCCTTGTCTCGCCATCCTCGCATGTTGCCTCGTCGCCTCAGCTGGAAGCTCCAACATGCTCCCTAATCCAACCTGGCGGCCACGAGCCAATCTCGACGTATACCCGTTGTGCATCGACCATGGAGGAAACTTTTTCTCCTTCCCACCACCGAAACACCCTCTTACAACTATGTTGCCCATACTGTAATTAGACCCAGCAACTACCTAATTAGTGGTCACAATGACTTGTTTGCCGACTTACCCTCCTTTCCTCCCATCTCCTCATATCATGCAAGCCTCCGGCTAGAGTCCGCGCCTGCTTCCACAAGTTCCTCATCTCCAAGTCTCCATATAAGTATACCTTGCCAATCATTTTCGTCTCCGCCTTGACTGCCGCGCCCGCAAGTCTCCTCCTCCACATCCTTATCCTCCTACCCAATTCGGGTAGCCCATGGTCTTTTTGTTTCTCACTATTCACATCATGTACTCTCCATCGCCCTAAAACCTGTCAATTCTCCTTGTTTAAAGCGACCTATCGCCCCGCGCTTATAATATCGCAGTCGGAAATCTTTCATTATCCTCACATCTCGCCTCACCTTGCCTCCCTTCCCATCTCTGGCAAGTGAAGAGCTTTTGCGCAAGCTCACCTATCATCATGGATGGACTCAAGAAGTTTCTTTCTCGTCAAAAGACGAATCAGTCTATCGACCACGAGGGCGAGCTTCAAGCCTTTCGCAAACAGCATCGCTGGGACCCTTTTCTCGGCGAGGACAAGCTGCGTGCCGTCGACTCGGCCCTCGACTCGGGCAACGCCGAAAAGCTCCGCCAGCTGGACAACGTTCTGATTCAGGATGACTCTCCATATCCCGAAGTCCGCGCTGCCGTACGTCCATCTGCCACCTCGAGACTTTCCTGTTCGCATAACTCACAACTCTGATTTAGGTGCCCCCCTCGGACGAGGACATGCCCGTCAACACCATCCGTGCTTGGATCATTGGTGGCGTTCTGTGCACCATTGTTTCCGCTTGTAACGTCCTTCTCGCATTGCGCCGCACACCCATCTCCATTAACTCTACCGTTGTCCAGTTGGTTGCCTATCCGTAAGTCTACCCTCATAAGTATACCCTCGAAATTGAGCAATTTTTGCTGCTTGATCTCGATTAACAAAGCTGACATTGGCACAGCATCGGCTGTTTCTGGGCCCGAGTAGTCCCTGCAAAAAGCTTTCGTCTTTTTGGTCTCAACTTTGAGCTCAACCCCGGCCCCTTCAATGTCAAAGAGCACACCATCATCACCATGATGACGGCCGCCGGCTCTGCCATCAGCTATGCCTTTGATATCCTGCTTGCCCAAGAAGTATTTTACAAGCAACATTTCAAGTAAGCTCGCTCTTCAGGTCCACATCCCAATCTACCTGCTGACTCTCCTAGATGGGGTTTCCAGATCCTGCTTGTCCTTTCCACCCAGGCCATGGGCTTCGGCATCGCTGGAATTGCCAGACGATTCCTCATCTACCCGTCATCCATGGTCTGGCCAGCCACCCTCGTCACTTGCGCCGTCATGTACGCCCTGCACAACCACCAAGCTGCCGATCCTGCTGCCACCAACGGCTGGAAGATTGGTCGCTACGCCTTCTTCCTCATTGTATCTTGCAGCACCTTTGTCTGGGAGTGGATTCCCCAGGTTTTTGCTCAGATATTCCAATTTTTCAACTTTGCCTGCTGGATTGCTCCCAACCATCTCCTGGTCAACCAGGTCCTCGGCGCGCAGTCTGGGCTCGGACTAATCCCCATTTCCTTTGATTGGAGCGTCATCAGCGCCTTTCTCGGCAGTCCCCTACAGGCCCCCGCCTTTGCCCTCGTCAACGTTGCCCTCGGCCTGATCCTCGTGGCTATTGCCGCCTCTGGCCTTTCATGGGCTGGCCCTGAGTTCTACCGGTACCTGCCTATCAGCGCCAACACAAACTTTGACCGCTTTGCCAAACCCTACAATACGAGTCGTATTCTTACGCCCGATTTTACCATGAACGAGACGGCCTACCAGGAGTACTCACCCATTATAATTTCTCCCACCTTTACACTCTCCTATGGCATGTCCTTTGCCGCTCTCATTTCCACGCTCGTCCACGTTATTCTCTTCTACGGGTCTGACATTTGGCGCCGCAGCCGCGACGTGCGCTCAGAGGAACCCGATGTTCACCTGAGGCTGATGCGCAAGTACAAAGAGGCCCCTGAATGGTGGTTTCTCGCCATTTTCGCCATGAGCTTCACGTTTGGCATGATTGCCTCTCAGGTCTGGCCCACCCATCTGACCTGGTGGGCTTTCATCCTCTGTATTGTTCTTGGCGGCGTCTTCTTCATCCCCATTGGCACCGTTCAGGCCATTACCAACCAGCAGACTGGTCTCAACGTCATCACTGAACTGGTTGTAGGCTTTATGCTACCGGGACGCCCCATCGCCATGATGATGTTCAAGTGCTGGGGCTACATGATTATTTACTATGGCCTCAACTACATTTCTGACATGAAGGTTGGCCATTACATGAAGATTCCTCCTCGCTCCATGTTTGCTGCTCAGGCCTTTGCCGTCATCTGGCTGTCCCTCGTTCAGGTGGCCACTTACAACTTTTTGCTTGGCAACATCAAAGGCATTTGCACCGAGGACCAAGCCCAGGGCCTCATCTGCCCAGCTGCTCGCACCTTTTTCAACGCCAGCGTCATTTGGGGCGTGATTGGTCCCGCCAAGATGTTTGGTGCCGGTCAGCTATTTTCTTGGCTCAACTGGTTCTGGCTCATTGGCGCCGCCCTCCCCGTCATCCAGTACTTGATCACCCGCCGCTACCCCAACAGCATCTTCCGCTACATGCTCACGCCTGTCATTTTTGGCGCCGCCGGCCAGATCCCACCGGCTACGCTCTACTACCTTTGGCAATTTGTGACCGTTGGTCTTGTCTTCAACTGGTACATTCGCCGCCGCTACTTTGGCTGGTGGCAGCAGTACAACTACACTCTATCCGGCGCCCTCGACATTGGCAACGCGCTCGCCAGCGTCGTCATTGCCCTGGCCCTCGGACTGGGAAATGTCAGCTTTCCCGACTGGTGGGGCAACACCGTCCCCTACGCCAACCTCGACGGATGGCACAACGCCACGACAAAGGTCTTTCAAAAGGGCCAAACGCCTCTGGGGCCGGAAAAGTGGTGGTAGGCTATCCATGCTATCTAGGCCTGTATATTTGGCGAACTAAACATACGATATAATGAACAAAATTGTGGCTTAACGCTTGAGGGCACAATGTCCTAGACCTACCACGAAGCGCCCTGCCAAATGCTGGGCATAATACCCTTGACTTTGATGATAGATATTTTATAGAAAAATGCTAATAGAAAAATACTCTATTACTATGCGCGGCCGAGCTAGGCCGGCGGCGAGAATTAGCCTATACTCGCTCATGTCATCTAGGTCAAGGTTAAAGGCGTCCTCCTCGGCGCCGGCACTAAAGGCGGCTTTAGTGACCAAGAAAGCCTCAAACACAGCAGCCGCTTCGAGGCTAGTGATAGCTTCAATTGTACGTGCACAGTAAAGCCATGGGTGCTCGTCGCCTAATACCACGATCTACCAACACATTACCATGTGTGCGCCATACAAATTCAGATAGAAGAGCCAGCCTCGGCGTCCTGACGTTACTGAGCCACACCCCCAGCCTCAATTTTGTTCGTCGAATAGTGAGTTGACTTGGTTCGTCAAATATTCTAGCCCGCCAGGATCGAATGTGGAGCATCTCGAAACGTTTTCTTTCTTCTCCTTTGGCCGCTTGCGGCTTTTGCCGTGCACGACTGGCCAGGGTAGAGTCATAACTGTTCGGGGGAGTTTGGACTTCAATACGTGGTAACCCATCGCGGCTCCTTGGTGTACATATTTAAGTTGCTGATTTCCAACGTAGATAATATAAATCTGAAAACATGGTTGCATGGATCCCTACGTAAAATTACATGCGGCAAGCGAGAAACAAGCAGAACCGTCCATCATGCGGCGCGATCATCGCTGCATGTCTCGGACAAGGGAGCATGGGGGGTCCCATCCCTTGACCGGCGAGCGGGTAGTCACCAGCCCTGATAACTTTCTTCTTTCCGCAGTTTTCATCCCATCCGAGCGCCAGCTCGCACATTAAAGGCCATAGTTACTATTTCGAAATTCGTCACAAGCTAAATTGCAATCTACCGCGGAATAATGCCAGTGCACATGACTTGTACTTATTATAGAAGCGCGGGATATCGAGCGACGGGCTTTTCGCTACCCACTCGCCCGCTTCACAAATTTCTTTCACGTGCATCTCTCTCTATGCCGCTGCTCTCAGTTGCTGCAATCTTTTTCTCTTGCGTCTTTAGCGCAAGGGGTGGATGCATTTTGCATGCCAGATAATTCGGGGCCCTTCACATCGGTAGTTTCACGCAATGAGGTTACCTGCTGCTCTTGCCCTTTCGTTCTTGGCGGCAGAGCCATTCGATGCTTGAGCCTGAAGACTTAGAAACCGGTTTCATAATCTTCTGCCCTAACTACTGTAGGCCTCTCCACTGCATTCGGTACCTGGGAAAACAGGACTGGCCCGGTGACTGTAATTTTCACTATTGGTGACAGGGTCCGGGATTTTCTGGCCCTCATAGTCGGGAAGCAAGGGGCGCCGGGGAACAAGGGCTCGGTACCGGCCAGGATGACGGATGGCCTGGCCAAAGGCGTATGGGTAAGGACAGTGCTGCTGCTTCAATGTCATCAATTGTCGCCGCCACAATTTTTGCCTCGACTCGGCCTCTCGTGAGGAGAATGCAAGACGCTCTATCGTACCAGTATGGCCTTTGCGCTTGGCTCGCTTGGCTGGCTCGCCCCGTTTAAAAATGTCTTGTTGGTTGTACAAGGTCAGCACACTGAGCCGCAGAGCCACACCGGTCACCATTCGAGCAGTGGGAGCAAATGCTCGGCGTTTTGGGGGGCTTCCACTCGCCACCAAGAGGTCGTGGGAGGGCCGACCTGCCGCTTTTACCTGGCACACCACTTTCTGTCTGTCTCCACGACCAGCGTTTTTAGCGTTGGTCGGGTCTCCCAAGTCGCCAAGTTGCCAAGCAGTTGGTCTTTGGTTCTGTCTGCTTATTAGCCCGGACCCCACCACACGCCACCTTAGCCCGGTGTAGCTTTTCTGGCTGTGAATCTGAGAGGCAAGCCGATCAGGGGTTTGCATCCCTGGAGGTTTCGTTGTCGTTGTTGCTTGCCAAGACGGGGGTCGTGGTGCCTGATATCTTGTAATATGGGCCTGGAAGTATCCGTATTGCAGGAGCAGATGTAATCAAGTTCAGACGCCCGCCAGCCGATGGCGTTTATCCCCTGTTGGATAACACTCGCCCAGCACGTACCAGCAGAGCATCACGGCAGTCGCCAGTTGGCCGGACCAGGCCCGTAAGAGCCCCTCCAGTTCGACCAGGTTGTCGTAGTTAGTTAGGCTCGAGCGAGATGTGTAGCAGCCGGTTTTTGATGAGGTCTGTTTCTGTGTCTGCGGTAGGTGCGGCAAATGTGCCATACTTCTTTGCCGATGCAGATGTCGAGCACAGGGGTAGCATCCGAGTCGTGAAGCGGCCGTTATAATAGCCAATAGCCAGGGTGACACCTTCCTTCCACTCGGTTGCTTGGACCCAACCAACCAACTAGCCTAGCCAAGGAAGACACAGGATGGCTTGCCTTGACAGGCGTTTTGACAACATCAGATAAGTTAGTCCCAAACTCAAACTGGTAGTCGGCCACAGTGGGTGGACAAGAGCGGCCCAACTTCAGCATTATGAAGGGCAAATGCCCAGCGCTAGGAGGCCATCCCTGTCTCTTGGTCCCCTGCCCTGCGCAGAGAAGGGGGGCGAGAAAGAAGAAGCGACGCTGGTCCGGTCAAGAGAGATGGTGTGGGCAGATCCGCGCTTGCGAAAAGAGCGGCGTCGCTTTGGACCCCCGGGAGAGCAGGTACCCGACCGAATCCTTTTCTTCTTTTTCTTTCTTTGATGAGTGTGGAATCTTCGACCTGTTCTCGCCGTTGCATCTATTATTATCGCCGTCGTCCCTATATTGTGCGCGTGTGTTTGTTGCTGGTGAGTCCATCAGCTGGCAAACAAGCTACATCAGTCGGTTCTGTCCCCCTCACCAGAGTCACCACCAACGGAACTGCTCCTGCCCGCACGCGAGCGCCAGCAAAGTGGCAGCCCTCGTGCTCCCCCGCACCCAATCCCATCTCCCTGCTGCATCGACCAAAAGTTCCCTTGGAATTTTCCTCTCCGCCGCTGCGAACCCGCCGAAATCTGCGACGATAATATTGCATTGAGAGGGGAACAATTAGGTCATATCGAGGCCGACGGCCAATTCCGAGTCACAAGATCAGCGCTTGCGGCGAATCAGCACCTGCAGTACAACGGGCCGTGACGCTGCAGCCAATCGACCGCAGATACGAGCAGAGCAGAGCGCTGAGCTGCACTAATCCAATCGAGCCCCAAGGCTACCTACCGAGAGCCCGAGACCGCCCTCAGCCGTGCGCTGCTGCATCTGTCGCCGTCATGGGTCTCTTTTCCCGCAAGGATAAGAGTCGTCGCGGGGACGCTTCCCTGCCCACCTCACAGTCCACCAACAGCTTCAACTCGTCCACATCTCGCTCTGGAGTCAAAAGAGTCTCGGCAGGAAGCATCACTCCAGCAAGCCCTCTCTCGCCATTGTCGCCAACCAAGCTTCCCAAGATGGATCTCCCCCGTCCTCCTGACCCCCAGCTTGACCCCGCCGGCTACCTGCGCAACCTCGGAGCTGTTCGCGAGCGCACTAAGCTTGTCTTTGACAAGGTCATGGACAATAGTCTACACCATTTTGACGTTGACATGGCCAAGTTTCCCGACGTAGTCACTTTTGTCTCTGGCTTGATCAAGGTATGTCTACCAGCAACTGATGCGCAGCTCGCTTAGCTCCGTCTAGCTTCAATCTTGCCTCTTTCGAAACTCATGTCCATCTTACAGAGAGATTACGACGCGCCCTTCACCACAATCCCCGGTCACGGCCGCTACCAGCACTTTTGCGTTGGCGGCCGTGATCGTATCGCAGACTTGCTATCCACTTGGCCCTCCACTGTGGATAACACGGAACGCTGCCGTCGCCTCATCGACCTGTTCCTAATCAGCGTCCTCCTCGATGCCGGTGCTGGCACTTCCTGGAGCTATAAAAGTAATGAAAATGGCAAGGTCTACAGAAGATCCGAGGGCCTGGCTATTGCGAGCTTGGAAATGTTCAAAGCTGTAAGTGCACGTTACCCCGCATCAAAGCGCCACATTGACACAATCAAGGGCCTCTTCTCGGGCAATCCCGAAAATAAATACCAAGTCGATTTCCAGGGCCTTGCCAAATTGACGGTCGATCAATTGGCTGTCGGTCTGCAGTCTAAACCTGGCAATGCGCTCGCTGGCTTGGACGGCCGTACAGACCTTCTGCTCAAGCTGTCCAATGCCCTCAAGAGCAAGGCCGAATTCTTCGGCGAAACGGGCCGACCTGGAAACATGGTTGATCATCTGCTTTCGCATCCTTCCACACAGGCATCTTCAATTCTCATTGTGCCGCTGCCCGTTTTATGGAATGTGCTCATGTCCGGTCTGGCACCCATATGGCCCGAGTCTCGCACGTCTATTGATGGCATCTCTCTGGGTGATGCTTGGCCTTGCTCCTCGATGCCTCAAGGAGCTGCCCCCTGGGAGTCCATTGTGCCGTTCCACAAGCTCACCCAGTGGCTAACATACTCGCTGATGCAGCCCATGCAGTCGTTGCTTAATATGCACTTTGCCGGCACTGAGCTTCTGACTGGCTTGCCCGAGTACCGCAACGGCGGTCTCTTCATCGACATTGGCGTGCTGACTCTGAAAAAGGACGATAGTGAGCGTGGCCTGGAGAACTACTCTGACTACTGCCGCCGCACGGGCGTCAAGGGCGTCGAGGTAGCGCCCATGTTCGAGCCTAGCGACGACGTCATTGTCGAGTGGCGCGCCGCCACAGTCGGCCTCCTTGACCACTTGACCCTCGAGGTGAACAAGTACCTGAAGAAGGAGCTAGCAGGCAATGAAATGACACTGGCACAGCTCTTGGAAGCTGGTAGCTGGAAGGTATGTGCAACCACCCGGCAGGCCTCCCCCGCCACATTGATAATAGCGCAGTTCATTAACGGCGACTAGGGTGGTCGTGAAATCGCCGAAATCAACCGGCCAAATACAAAGGAGCCTCCCATTCTCATTGAGAGTGACGGCACCGTATTTTAAGCTAGCCCAAATCTTCATCAAAATTCATCCCATCATGACCGGTTGCTGGTACATAACTACAGCACCCATGAAGTTATATTCCCCGTTCACTACACCATGCGCATGACCACTGACAATGATGTGTCCCTCTTGTCCTCCAGTCCACACGAAACGACATACAGCTGAAGCCCGTCATTGATGACGTACTGTTTTACTAATCAACTTTGTTGCTTCGCTCTTTATGATTTCCTATTTCTTTGGCGGGGTCTCTTTGTTATCAAACTGTAGCGAGGGGCGCGTCTCAGTGTAGAAATGTCAATCATCAAGATTATTCACGCGGATGGGATTTGTTCATACCTTGATATTCTTTTCGACTCGTACATCTTCGTTTTCATAATTTACTTGGCAAATGCAAATGAGATGTCTGTAAATCTGATTATACATTGTACATGGCTAAGATGTTCTTTCAAGCGTGCCTCCTCCTATGGCGTCACCTTTCCTGCTGTCCTTTGATGCTAGTATACAACATGCCACCATTGCCACGTCCGCCAGCACAACCCTCTGCGATAGTATTTACACACGTCTTGAAATACTTCAAATCGTGAAATGAAAACAGTACAATACAAATGACGATGGACGTCTCTACTTCTTGCCCTTGTATTTCCTGCTAAACTCTTCGCGCTCCTGCTGCCGGCGCTTGTCCTCAAGCTTCTGCATCAGCTCCTTGCGATTGCGTTCCGCCTTTTCCGCGTCTGTCGCCGCCATGCGGCCGCCGAAGCTGCCGAGCTGCTGCGACATGCCCTGCTTGGCGTCATTGAAGCTGCTGTTGACGCGCTCGGCAAAACTCAGAGGCTTGGCGACCTCCTGGGCTGTCGTCGGCTTGGGCGGTGGTACGGCGGCACCGCGGGGTGCCTCGTAGCGGATGCCCTTGGGGATAAGCTCAGAGAGAGACGAGCCGCCGCTGGCGGCAGTAGAGGAAGTGCGGGCACTGACGGACGAGGCGGGCTCGGGGGGCGGGCCCATGAGGAGGCCGAGGCGGCGGCGGAGCGAGGGGATATCGAGAATCAGCGAGGTGGCGAGGGTTGCGCCGGCAAAGGCAATACCCATGACGTTGATGCCGGCGGCGAGGAAACTAGTAAACAAGAAACCGACACCGCCCAGTACCCAGGACATGGGCTTCATCATCTTTCGCTGCGCTGAGGCCATGTATTTTTGGCCAATCTGGTGATAACAATACAGGTTAGTTGTCATGTAAAAGGCTTGGCTGACGGAGATGCTGGATGATGCAAACGTACCTGTATCGAGAGAATCATGAGACCGGTGGCCAGGGCAGGTAGAACAAAGTACGGGTCGCGGGCAGTCAAGTCGGTGAACCACAGGAAGCCCGCGTCCTCCATGCCAGGCACGGGCAGGTTGCCCATCTGGCGCACAAGCTTGAACAGGCCAATCGTAAACGGAAACTGCACCACCAGCCAGAGCAGGTTCGCGTTGTTGACGCCGTACTCCTTCTTGAGCAGGTCGGCTATGACCTTTGCCTGCTGGCGCTTCTCCATGCCGTCGACGCCGGCGGCGAGCGACTCCTTGGTGAGGCGGTTCATCTCGACGGCGCGCGGGTCGGCCTGCATGTGCGCGACGCGGCCGCCGTTGCGCATCTGCATGATGTGCGGGATGAGCATGGCGGCACGCAGCGCAAAGGCCGACGCGACGATGCTCATGCCCCAGCCGAAGCCCGTCGACGTGTGAATGTACTCCAGCAACCACTGCATCACCGACGTCGGGCCCCATCCGTTGTCCAGACCCAGCGCCGCCAGGTATCCCGGCTCGGTCGACGACAAGTCGAGGAGATCCGTGGCGCTCAGGCCGCTGTTGCCGCCGCCGCCGCCGCCGCCGCCAAAGTCGCTCAGGTCGCTGTTGGCTAGGGGCGCCGTGGTCGTCGGCTCCGTCAGCGGCGGTGCAGCTGAGATGCTGTCGGTCGCGGCGTCGGCGGCGCTCGAGGCCGCATGCTGCTGCTCTTGTGCGGCTGCTTCGGCCCGGCGCGCCTCCTCGAGGGCCTGCTCGCTGGTCTTGCTGCTGCTGCTGCCCCAGCCCCAGAGAGACAGGTTGCGGCTAGCAGCGACACTGCCGAGAGCTAATGGGGTGATGCCAGCCGCCGCAGGAGATAATCTGGCGCGCATGCCCTGTCCGGAGATTATTGCGGCATTTCGATTGCTCGGAATCGATCGTGTCGCAAATGTGCGGCCCTACCAGCATGAAGAAAAAGTGTTAGAGGATGTAGGCGTCTAAGATGGGGTTGGACCTCATGGAGGCAGAGGAAAAGGACGCACGATCAATCGGGTTGTTGTCTGGCCTCTGGTGAATCCCGCGGGAAAGGACCGAGCAATTCCTCTGCTGGGAATCATGGTGCCGGGTGTGATGAGGTTGAGATGCGAGGTTACGGACACGGTCCATTGGCAGGTGTACAGGTGCAGGCAACTTTTTTTAGAGCGACAAGGCGGGCCGGATAATTCTCGGGGGCGACCGCCAGCAGCTTGACCTCGACAGCAACAGCGGTCTACATCTCATCAAAGCGGTATGAATTTGCACTGTGATGTTTCGATCATGGTTTTGGAGTTTTATCTATTTTTTTGTATATTTGTGTGTAGATGCGAAGGCACTGTAAAGACATCCTTTGTTTCAGTTCAATCCCCAGAAGCAGCTGTCCTGGCCCGACACGTCTCATCTGCATTCTTTAATCTATAAAACCATGGCTGACAAAATCGCATTCCCAACATGTGTGGTATCCTTTATATTATTCCAAGCTCGCAAAATCAGACAGCGTCACGCCGGGCACTCGCTTCTCACGCGCCTCGATGCCGGGTCCGATTGCATGTGCTTTTCTCCGTGAAACGGGAAAGACCTGTGAGTGGACATTAGCACAATCCCATCAATCGCTACATGGTAGTCAAGAGCCAAGACAGCTTCGAATCCCGTCGCAATCGGTCACAGCTTACCTTTGTGCCTCCCCATCCCAGCCGAAAGGCGGCCTCGTGAGCAAACAGCTCGCCAAAGCCCAGCATCATGCCATTGATGAACGGCAACAAGATGTTAATAGCAGTGCCGCGCAGCAGCGACCATATCGTCGGAGGCTTGTACAGGATGACGGGTGAGCTGGACGTGGACGCGGGCGAGGTGGAGAGCTCGTCGCCAGGCGAGTACTGTTCGCTGTCGGAGCGCATCGTCACGCCCGACTCGGCGAGCGGGTTGGGCTGATCGTCGAGTGACATGGTGTCGAGCAGCGGCGGTCGAGAGCACCCTTAAATCTTTGATGGCCAATCTCGCTCCGGGAACGGTGCAATGCAGGTACCTGTTGTTGAGCGCGGTCGGAATGATGGGAGACGTCGGCGCCCGGGGAAGCTCTCCGAGATCCTTATGTAAAGGTGGGTCACATACATAGGACGTGCATAACTCACAGTGAGAAATTGTGAACTGGTCGGCCTATGCGGTAGCTGATCAATACTGAGAAAATACTAGAATGCATTTCTAGAAAAATGCTCGATTAATTCTCTCGTGAAAGCTAATTTATTTGTATTTCCTATACACGGAAGATGTGTCGGCGTACGTTGCCACCGTGGCCGTTGAATCTGCTGCCCCAGTGTGCTACTGAAGCAGTTGTCCCACGCATTCTGATGCATATCCGCATAACATGTATCTGAATTGCGAACTCTAACAGAGACTGTCTCTCCCGTTTTGGTCACGCGAAATTGCCGCTCACGTCGTGGACTAAAACCAGTATATATCGGAGTCTGCGCCATTCAGGCGGTTCTCCTTGTCCAACTTGCTCAGCAGGTTCTTGACCCTGACGACAACAGCTTTCCCGTATTTCGGACCTGGGGGCGGCATAGCGACGCTCAGATCGTTGCGCAGCCAGACAGGGCGACGCTCCAACGTGGCCGCATCCACGGCTTTGCGCATCACCTCGTAGTCATTGTCGTCGTAGCCTCCGCCCAGGATGACGGCCTTGGCGCCGTCGGCGATGTTGCCGGTGCCCACGCTGCTGGCTGCCTGCCGTCTCGGGCGCGCTCCCCTTGAGGACGAGGGGCAGATCTTTGACACCAGCTTCGGGCGTCTTGACAAAGTGCACGACTGCTCGAGGGTTAATACAGTTGGGCGATCAAGCTGGGCTCGGCAACATGGTGGAAATCGATATAGAGGTAGGGTCGAGAAATTACACACGCTCATACTCTGGCTTGAGCCCGTCTGCGACGGACTCGCCAATTGTTTCCCGCCGGCCGCATACAATCACAGGGATGGCTTTGGCGGCCATGGAGGAGGCTGAGAAGCTGCGGGATAAGTGGCTTCGGACTGTGATGTAACGAGGAGCGGAAAGAGATAGCGGCAAGACTACGCTGCGGTGTTGACAGAATAGTCTCGAGGCAATCATTATTTCAACGATTGAAGGAACGGCCAGAGTTGATGTACGTCATTCAGTTACTGATGCTGTGACTAGCTAGTTAGGTAGTTGGTTAGTGGCGACTGGTTGGCGAGTTGGCGTGCAGCACTACTAAAGGCCTGTAAGCATTTGAGACTCCGAATAATAAACGTATTAAATTCTATATGAAGGCAGGTCACACAATACTGTCGGCTACTTGCGAGGAAGTCTGAGGTTTGCCTGAATCCGAGCTAGTAATTGCTCCCGTGTATCACTTGCCTGTGGGAAGAGGTTGCGCTGCAGGTATACATTGTTAAGCACTGGCAAATTGCCAACGTCATCGGTGCAACTCACGGCCTCGAGCCACCTTCGCATCTCCTCTCTTGTCCACGTCTCTGGATCTCCCTTGGGTTCTGGATCGGCAGGAAACAAGTCACCAGCGAGCATCCACGCAGTGGCAGCGGCGACTACGCCTCCGAAGGCTGCGAGGCTTGTCAGGTTTGTTGAGCGCGACAGGCGCTGTGGCATACTTACCAAGAACCATGTTCTGCCAACAGTTAGTTTTGCGGCTCTTCAAACCGGGCTAGAGTTGCAGGATTTACCTTGGACTTTAATGTATTATCAAGTAGAGTGGGCATTTTGATGATCGTAGATGAGAAAAAGTTGAAGGAGTTGAGCAAACGTTGGTTGGAAAAAAGGCCAGATCAACAAGCTCAGCTTGACATGTGTAGCTGCGTAAGTGACTGCGTGGCCTTGGCTTGTCCAAACTGCCTTGTTTACGGCTGCACACCCAACCGGAACAAGGCCACACCAACACGGCAAGACAAGAATCGAAAAACTGAAATAATTTTGCTTTGTTGGATACTGATTATGTGCTGATGGTTCTCACTTTTTTTTCCCAGGATCTCAAGCTACGTCCATCATGTAAATAGCTTTCATCTCCAGTACACCAGTTCTGGGCTCACCCAGCTCCAGTGGACCTGCTAGGCGCTTACACAGCGTTGTCGCAGTGGAATTCCAGAACCAAAAGCAATCGCTTGAACACGCAAGAGACCAGGCTATTTAAATCTGGAGCATTGGGAGACCACTTTTGGCTCGCTAGACGGTCAAATTTTCGGCCATGGCGCGCCTCCTGCCGAGTACGACGATTGAGGCTTTGGCAAGTAAAGAGGCGCCGACGAGACTATTGAGGTTCGTTCGGCTGGGCGAGCAAGCAGCATGAGTCCCGAATGAAGAGGCCAGCCGCTGCTAAGAGGGTGCCTTTACAACCCACCACTTATTAGGCGGGCGCCTTGTCAACCTAACTATCGACCAGGCCCGATCTGCCAGCTTTTGCTGTAGTTGAAATACAAGGAAGTAGCTCTTTCTCATTTGCTCGCCTAATGACCTATTTCACAGTTAGATACGCCTAAGTTTGAGCAGTGTTGATGTGATGCAAAATGATATATATAAATCAGAGTACGGCATGATACGATGAAGATTGCCTTGAAGGTATAACAAGATATGAAAAGTACGTAAATATCGAAATTTGCATCTAGGTGTCCCATTCTTGCCTCAAATCGGTTTGCCACAAGCGTAGCCATGGACTTTTTACGTGCTGGGAGTAGGATACTGTAGATGCGCACCCACCAGCAATTTCGACAACGCACAGTCTGCGACACACGTCAACAACGTCAAAGAAACAGCAAGTCTCTGTCTTTAGAATTACACGCTTCGGAGCTAGTACATGATAGCAAAATACAAAACAAAACACGAGATACCCTCCCCAGCTTGAGGGTCTTTCCTCCTCCATCTTGCTACTTAAAGGGTTCGCCTTCACTATATTGGCTTAATTACCACGGAACAAAAACTGCATGTCCGCGGGGGTTAGCGACTCCATCGCTTTGTCATCGCCATTCACCGTCGAGTGAATCATGCTCGTCTTCTTTTCCTGAATCAGCACCATCCGGCTCTCAACCGAGTCCTCGATGCACAGACGCGTGATCGTGCACGGCCGCGTCTGCCCGATCCGGTGGCATCGATCTGCTGACTGCCATTCGGCCGCAGGGTTCCACCATCTGCCCGTCGCACAAAGCATGTTAGTGACATCTTGATTCTGTGGAGGAAGGAGCAGGCATGACAAAGAGAATCAACTTACGGATCGACAATAAAGACGCGCGAGGCTTCCGTCAGGTTAAGTGCAACGCCGCCGGCTTTCAGTGAAACGAGGAAACACTCCACGTCCACGTTGGTCATAAAGTGCTCAATCGACGCCTGACGCTGCGCGGGCGTCATGCTACCATCGAGCATGACCGTCGTGATGCCAGCGCGGCGCAATCGCCACTCTACGAGCTGCAGCATCGTTGTAAACTGCGAAAAGATGATTGACTTGTGCGATGCATTATTCGATCTGAGTTTGTGCAGCTCGTGCACCAAGAGCTCAATCTTGGAGGAAGACGTCCAATTCTCCATCTTGATACGATTGATAATTGAAGACTTCTTCACCATGGACAGGTCCTGCTCAATCTCGGGCTGCTCCAAGTCAATCGACAGGGGAATGTGGCAGCGCGGACAGTCGGGTTCGTCAGTTGAGTGTATGTAACTGGCCACACACGCGCGGCAAAAGTCGTGCTTGCAGCGACTGCGCACCGTATCTTCGGACGGCTCATCGCAAATGCAGCAGACGAGCACATTCTGGCCGCCCTCGGCATTCTTCTTCAGAAGCAGATCAGGATGGTCCGCAACCTGACGCATCTGCATGATGAGACCAAAGATGTTGGCATAATTGTTGAGCAAGATATTTTGATGAACGTAGGTATCAAACTTGCGCCGGCCGTTTGTCATGATGCTGCCGGCGAAATCATTCTCCTCCTCGCCAAAGAATTGACGGTTGACAAAGATTTCCTTGACCGGTAACTCCATCGCATTGGTATGGTCTTTTTTGAGACGGCGAAGCATAATGCGCTTCGTCATCAGCCGAAGCTTGCGGAACGCTTCGCGACCGGGCCCAAAGTTGCCAAACTTTTGGATCGGGTTCAAAAGTTCCTGGTTGAAGACGGATACGTGCTGCATACCGCCGTGGCCGCAACTCTTACATCGATGGTCAACGTCCATGCTCCACTCCAAGGTAGAGCAAGGGCACTGCTTGCACAGGTAGGATGCAAAGGGCTTGATATTGAGGAACCTGATGAGGGAAAAAAACTCGCCGATTCTGTTCTGAAGCGGAGTGCCAGTCAAACACCAACGATAATTAGTTTTCAGTGCAAAGCATGCCTTAGCCGTCATCGTTGTTCGTGTCTTGATGCAATGGGCTTCGTCCAGAATAATACGATGAAAGTTGATGGCATGAATCACACTTTCCTCCTTGTAGAGTCCCTCCTTGCGCTTGAAGCCACGTTCCTGCTTTCGATACATGGACTCCAGACTGTTGTACGACATCATAATCACGTCGTACTTCTTCAAGTCTTTAACTTGAATTCCCTTTGTCTTGGTATTCGTACCGTGAAAGACGAATGTCTTGAGTGTTCCATCGGTGTAAGATTTGATCTCTGACTGCCACTGCATCAAGGCAACTGGGGGTACAAGCACCAAACTGGGTTGCTTAGCAGGGTAATCAGACATGATGAGTGATACGGCCTGAATCGTCTTCCCCAACCCCATTTCGTCGCCGAGGAGGCCGCCACCCCACTCTTGCTTTTCCATCTCCTTCATCCAAGCAAGACCTTCAAGCTGGAAGGGTTTGAGGCGACGCGAGATCGTCGACGGCTGCTCTGCCCTACCCGCATTTATTTCTGGCATATTTTCGAGATCAGTCCACATGGTTTCGAGCTCTGGATGATGAGTCTCGAGGCGGAGACGCTCGGACCGACCACGACGCTTGTCTCCACGCCTGTATGCCTTGCGAGAGGCGGCAATTTCTCGCATTTCAGTCTGTTGAGCGTGTTCATTCGAAGCGGCGAGTTGTTCAATCGACTCCTCGTAAGCAGAGTCCTCGTCCGAAGTCTCCAGCGAAGAAGGGGGACTATGGGTTCTGGGCATATGTGGACTGATCGCGGCGCTGGATTCGCCGACACGAGGAGCAGAGCGCGTTCGCTGTTTGCCTTTAGACTTAGATAGGGGTTCGTCGTCACTAGAGACCTCGAATACAGAGTCATCAAGGGAGCTAAGGTCATCCGAGTCCGATATCTCAATTGTTGCATCCGGCTCCTTGCTGCCAGATTCCTCGTCAGGAAAGCCAGTAGCAGAACCCGCAGAAGCGACTGCGGTATCCATGTCAGTATCCGAAGGCAAGCCATCCTCAGAATCGGGTATCACTTTGCTCCTCTTTGTTCGGCGGCTTGATCCCGTATTCGCCCGCTCCCTCTTCGCTGGCATGCTTGCTCTGGGGGTCCCAACAGCACCGTCGGACATAGAGCTACCTCCCCAAAAAGGGGCCTTGGCATATTCCTCTTCTTGTAGCCTTCGGGCGACTTTGGCGTCCGGCGACTCATCGGAGAATGCATCATCATCGTCAGAGTCTTGAACAAGGTCAGCACGGCGCTTACCCTTTGCATTCAGGGACAAGCTGCTTGTGCGCAGGGCACGATCTCTGTCGGCACGGCCTTTGGAGGTAGGAACTTCAATCACGAATGTTGTCCGCTTTCCAATAAGGTCTCCAGCCTCTGTTGATAGCGGTGTAGGCACAACGCTGGTAGCAGGAGTGAAATCGCTGGCCTCGTCTGAGGTCAGTTCTGTGGGGGTTGCGACGGATGAAACAGTTGCGCTGGGAGGTGCTTTAGTAGCGATGCGACTGAGACGAGTTGTTGTTTTGCTCGTAGTCGACTCTGTAACTGATGGTGCCGGCGAGGAATTGTTGCTTGCCAAGAGAGACGATCTAGTAGATCGCCTTGTACTATTGCTAGCTGCAACAGGTAGAAAGGGTCAATAGAGAATGGCTCAGATGGTTCTCATTCACATACCAGACACCGGAGTGGAGGTACCACCCGAAGACCGTCCACGACGCATCTTGCAAAGTTAAATTTTCCGCAGAGAGAGTTTTGTAAATGAAATGAAGTTAGAAGAGAAGAACGTAGCACCAATGTTCAAGCTGCGCTGAGGCCTGGCTCCTGGCGTGCGGGTATTGGCTCTGGGCTATCAGCGAGGGCAGCGGCGATTCAATAGTACTGGGTGGCGAATAGTGTCTAATTCGGATTCCTCGCCACTCATTTGGGGTGCACTGTTCAATAGAGACTCAAAAACACAAAGCGAGGTTTCGAAAATGAAATTTCTGGTGCTCAAGTGCCTGCGTGCATTGAACAGGTGTGAAAGTTGGTCTCGTTGCTTTTTGCTGGCACCGTGAATCACTTACTGCTCGGCACAGTGCCAATAATGACGACTTACGTCGCTGGCCCGCGGAATTTCGTTACAGGACTCCACGTGCGGGCCCTGAAAAGTTAAATAGCCAGTGCGCCAGGTACCGCGCACTGTATCCGATGCACGAAAACCCGCCATGGTCCTCGATTGTGGGCGGGCCCTCACAGTGCGAGCTAGATTGGAAATCTACCCCGATCACGTGACACCGTGTTAGAAGCGCGAAAATTTACATGACACGCTTCGGCGTTTGCACTGGGCTGTGCCAACTTCATGAACGCCACTGTGCAGCCGAAAGAGGACTTGCAGACGTTCCCTTTTCTCACTTGTGTTTGCTTCTCTTTTCGTCCGCACGCAAAGACAATCTGTTCTTCACTGAGTTGAAGAGGTCAACTTTATAACGTCTCAACATGTTAGTTCATCCTGCTGTTTATGTCGCCCGAGGTTATTAATCGCTTGACAGGGTGCGGAGGCGATCGGCTCCGAATGGTGGTAATAATGCCCACGAACATAACTCTCCTTCTCGACCTTCCAGAAATATCACTGGCCCGTACGTTCGCAAAAGTCACCCGGTGTCATGAAGCTTGCTAAAAAAATTACAGTCAATCGGCGTTGACGGACTTCTTAGCTGTAAGTACATCATGAAAGCTCGGCCGGCCTCATCCCTAACAGTTGCTAGTCACATAATATTTCAGCAAGACAGATACGCGATGATGCCGATGCTCGTCGACAGGCCGCAGCTAATCAGGCTCGCGCAAATGGCGATTCGTCCGCAGTAGCCGAGTCGAGCACTACCGCGAGCCAACGTGCGCCTGGTGGCGATAAAAGGAGCCGGAAGCAGAAAGAAGAGCAAAAGGCCATTGAAAAGATCAAATCCAGTAAGGCATTCAAGAAACGCAAGAAGTATGCCGATGATGATGAAGACGACGATGACGTTGCGCGAGCCATTTTCGAACAAAGCTACGCACCTTTGCCCGGTCAGATGGACAATTGCGAAATCTGCGACAAGCGGTTCACTGTTACTCCGTACTCTGTCACAGGACCCAACGGCGGGCTACTGTGTGCGCCCTGCGGCCGTGAGATAGCCAAAGAGCGAGAGGGTAAAAAACCGCAAAAGAAACCTCGCAAGCAAACAGGAGGGATTGGTGCGCGCCGGACTACGCAGAGTCGAATTCTCGACGGGGATGTGGGAGTCAAGAGCCTGGCGACACTTTGCATTCAAACACTCGCAAAAAATGTGGACATGGCCGAGAGTCTAGGCGATTTGCCGGAGCACCTCGTCGACAAGATTGCACGCATCTTTTCGAAGCGCAGACTTCTCAAGCCAGAGACTCTACCACTTTTTGTTCAACCGACTACCGAGGTGCTGCACATTTATGACGGCGCCAAGCTCGGAGAAAACGATCTTATTAGCATTTTTCAAGTGGCGACCAAGTTGCGCCGCTTTAAAGTCCGATGCGCAATCCAGTTCAAGGACGAGGTCATGGACTACCTGTTGTCACGCGATACATGTTTAGATACGTTTTATCTGCATGGTGCGAACTTGCTAAGTGAAACGAAATGGCACGAGTTCATTGCTGCAAAGGGTGTCGAGCTAAGACAGCTCCATGTATACTATACGGACTTGCATTTTGGAGACGACACGATCGTTGAGCTACGAAAGCACTGCCCAAGGCTGCAGCGGCTCAAGGTCGAACACAACCAGAAGCTTACAAGCGAAGGTGTCAAGGCTATCGGCGCGCTGACATCTCTGGAACACATCGGTCTTCAAGTTCACCACAAAATTACCTCGGAATCATTGACAGAATGTATTGCTGGTGTGGGAGCAAACTTACAGACTTTGTCATTGAAGGTCTTTCCCGAGGCTGGCGACGAAGTCTTGGACGCAATTCACAATAATTGCCGACATCTGACTAAGCTACGAATCACAGATAGTGAAGTCATGACTGACAGCGGCTTCGTCAAATTATTTACTGGATGGAAGAATCCCGAGTTGTCATTCATTGACCTCCAAAAGTGTCGACAAGTTGACGCTGCCAATCCACGCGACAATCCCGACAAGTTGGGCCTCTGCAGCGAAGGCTTCAAGGCGCTCATGGCGCATTCAGGCCCGAAGATCCGGCATCTCAATGTCCATGCCTGTCGGCATATCACGCGCGAGGCCTTTGAAGAAGTCTTTAACGAAAACGCAAAGTATCCGGAGTTGCGATCGTTGGAAATTAGCTTCTGCGAAGAAGTGACGGACTTCATATTGGGTAGCATCTTCCGAGCCTGTCCCAAGATCAAGGACGTCAATGTGTTTGGATGCATGAAGGTCAAGAACGTTTTGGTTCCACGAGGCGTCATCCTAGTTGGTGTGCCTAATGCACAGGGTATGGTAACCGAGGGCATTCATTGAGAAATGTAGCCGCTCCGATAAGAAATGACCGTGTATTAGCTAAGTATTTTTGCATTGTAAAACCATTGGTATCGAAAAGGTGCACGCCTCCCTTTGAGGGAAGGTGGCAATACGATGGGGCTATGGCGACGGTCGCTGCAGAATTTGTGGTTGCCAATCTAGTTGCATATATCCATCCATGGCGTAGCAAGCATTGAGTACCAGTCCTGCTTGCTGCTACACAAGCCATGTATCAAATCATAATCAGACGACTCTCGAAAGCCAGTCAGTACCACTTGGACCTGCTATAGTCGAAATAATTTCGCGAAGGAGGCTGACGTACCCTATATTCTTGGCCATGGGTGTCGGAGGCCTTGTTCCCATGACAGTCAATTGCCTTTCCATCAATTTAAACATTTGATCGGCATCACTAAGTAGAAAAAAAAGGGACTTACTTATCCTTTCCCGTCCAACACATACATGTAAAAGTGACTGCGTCCAAGACCACCGTACATATTAGATAGGAGGACGTGCTGCAAATCGCGCGCGACATCCATCCACAATATGTTTAGGGTCGCGCCTTTACTTGAATGGCGCCCCAAGAATTGTGCCAGCATACAAACTCTATTCAAAGACAGATCTATCAAGGTTGGAGATCGAAATTCCAGAGTCTCCGCCAGAACTTTAACATGCAGCCCATGGCGCACAATTTCCAGTGCAGTATGCAGAACACAACGTAGGCAGACCCTCGACTTGGTAACAGAGCTCTAAAAGCTCTAGATTTATGCTATTTGAGACTTATATACATGCATGAACAATCTAGTTGAAGATTTTACAAGTACAAATTGACTCAAAGAAATGCCAAAGTAGGAAAGGAAAATACATCACATTACTATACTTTATTAGTCAAGCGTAATACTTTTCTCCTTTATTTATTGCCGTTTATAGAAATTGATTCAGCGTTAGAAATCTGGAAGATAGGTTTGTATATATTTTAAGTACTTTTATGCTATTCCTTTCGATCTCTTCTTTCGACGTGTTTTGATGGTTTTCAGCTGGCGCAGGTAGCCAAGAAGAGGTGCCCGATGTTGGGCGTTAGACAACCTCAACTGTATAGCAATAATAACAACTATTGACCAACTTCTGGTCCTGCTTGCTCCAATTGGTGAAGCGCTCCTCGAGCTCCTCGTCCGAGGGCTCAGGATCGCGCTTCCACTTGGTGGCGGGGGGCGCGCAGCCAGCGGTGTTGGTGAGGTAATGGAGGTGAGCGGGGAGGTCGAAGCCGATAGTGCCCGCGTTGCAGCCGACGCTGTCGATACCCGGGCAGACCTTGACGTCGTTGCCCTGGTAGTTTATCTGCTCGGCCTGGCCGTTGGACAGCCAGTACTCGGTTCCGCCGTGGCGGTAGCCAAAGATCATGGGCGGCAGGCGCGGCACCGGGTCGTCAATGTGCGTCATGCGGTACAGGCCGCCTCTCTGGCGGCTGGCAAAGTTGGCAAAGACTTCGTTGCCGATGCGCGGCGCGCCAAACGTGTAGATGGCGGCCTGGTAGCCGGCGCGGCGGAGGTAGACACCGGCGAGCGTGCCAATTGCGCCGCCGAGGGAGTGGCCGGTGATGACGAGCCTATAGCCCGGGTTTGCCTGCAGACCGCTCCGGATGGCCGCCGTGGCGGCAACTGAGATCTCGTCCCACGAGGCGGCGAAGCCGTCGTGAACCTTGCAACCCGAGGCAAAATCACAATCGCGTTGTGTGAAGATGAGATTGGTGATGAAGTTGCGGAGGTTGTTGCTGCCGCGTGCTGCAAAGACGATTTCTTGGCGGGTTCTGTCGACGGACACGTATCCGGCAATACCGGTGTTGGCGCCCTGGAAGGTGTTGATGATGGTAGCACCGTTGCGCATCACATCGTTACACTCGCCGCCGGCGCAGCTAATAGCATTACCGGGCGAACGGCCCTCGGCGTTGCAGTAAGCGGCAGCGGCATGCTGAGCGTAGAACTTGAAAGCGTTCATGAAGTTGTTGTCAACAGCTAGGACAAGTTAGTACGAGGGATAAAGTGCAGCTAGCTAGGCGTTTATTGTGTAACATACATCTAGACTCGAGTAGAGTCTGGTTGTTGACTATCGGGCTGGCTGCCGCCGCCGCAACGAGGGAAAAGAGGGCAACGCGCATGTTGGCGGTCGAACAGCTGTATAAGTCAAGGGAAGTATGAAGACAGCTGCCTCTAACAATGAAGTGAAAAAGATGTGTAAACCTGGTGGAAGACTAAAATCTCTTTTCCGGACTGGCACGAGTCTTTATATACTCGTGAGCGCACCGAATTGCACTCGACATGGCCCCGTCAGAGCCCCTTCAGAACGGCATTGTCCCAGCCCGAAACAGGTCAGCCCAGGTCTTCAACGCACCGAATCTCACGATCCTGCGCCGAGTTCCCGGACATTGTGGAGCTTGGACGGCCAAGTCTGCTCAGTGACGGGTCGAGAAATGGCGGTAGAGCCTGGCCGGTGCGATAGCCGCGCGAGATGGGGAAGAGGGCAAAAGGCAGCCCCATCTATCGTCGGCCCATGCGCGGAAATCGTTTTTTGTCGTGGAGCAGGGTTGTGTGTCAGACAACAGACCGAAAACAAAAGGAGAAAAATTAGCCGTGGAGCTTTATAACGATGCCGGCCTGCTCTGCCGGACCGATATAGACTCTGACAAGTGAGCGTTCGTGCCTGCAAGAGTGAATCCCAGGATAAAGATTTTGACGCTTCTCCAAATCTTGGAGATATCAATACAGCTCTAGTGACTGCAGCATTGACAAAAATTTGTCCAGCCTAGAATATCCCGCAGCTCAGCAGTGGGCGATTCCCGATGCCAATACGAACGAGCATGCTTCGTGATGCTCAGAAAGAGGAGACAAGACCACCAAGTTGCAAATCGAGTATCAAATTTGCACCACAATAGGCCGAAAGCGTCTGTAAGAGTACTTTGTCAGGTATAGGCAGCCATAAGAACCCGCCGCGGCTGACAACGTCTCAGCTATTTGGCATCGTTCCCATGGCTGGACGGAGTCGGGAACAGTGGAACAATACCAGTATTTCGCGCGGAAAAGCAAAGAGGAAAAGGGTGGGCGGGATTCCTGGGTGTTGCTAAGCAGCGATATTGCCTGAATCTCTGTAGAAGGAGGCTAGAATGTTCGGGAGTCGCAACAAAAAAGCAACCGGAACTGGACGGTTGAAAGAGCCGCGGGTAATCCCGAGCAAAGCACAGAGATCAGCGCATTAGCTCGCAGAGTGAAGCTACAAGGCGGGGCTTGTTCAGCTTTAGACCTTGTAAATATCACCATTGTGATATGCCCTGTTGGAAGCGCGAACCTGTCCGTCGGTGTTCGGCCCTCGGTGCAGAATAGCGCCGGAGCAATTTTCTGGACACATATCCATAGTGTTGATTTTATAGTTAGGAGAGCTGTCACGCCAGTGATACAAAAGCAATGGCAGCTTGTCAGTTTAGCCCCCATCATACCGCCAAAAATTGGTGTTTATTAACTGACTGCAGCGCGGAATGGGTGGGTTTTGTTCGACCCCAGCCTTTGCGGGGTGGGTTGGGGGATGGCGTTGCCCTCTGCCGAGAGCCTAACTTTATTGGTTGATAGTCTAGGAAAAATACAATTGGTCAAGATACATTTACACATAGATACATCTACACAACCTCAGATCAGTTTACAAGGCCAAGGACCTAGTGGCGGAGTGGTCAACCGTCGCAGGCAGCCTTCGTGCCTTCGTGCCTTCGTGTTTATGGACTGCAAGCTATGCCTGTACGTTATAGGTGGCTGGTCTGATAAGACTGTCTACAGCTATCCCAGCAAGCTGAGGTTCAAGCATGACTCTGGCTTCTCGTAAGTTTCCAACTGGGCCTGGCTTCACCCCACGCGACCGCGGTTGTTAGCAACCTGGGGTATAATAAGCGTCGGCCGGTAATGGGTGGCTCAATCGAACGTTTTCAAGAGGGGCAAATCGTCGCGACGCGACATGAGAGCGTCGATGATCCGGCGAAGCTCGCGTATTACAGCAGATGCCGATGCACGCCATTTAATACAGCATGTGAGAGGAACATTAGTAATATCAAAATGCTAGCCTTGACAAAAGGCGCCAGAGGGACACAATCAGCAACATTTTGTGTGGCTGCATGTATGCAAGGGGGCGAGGAATTGAATCCCGCCTGGGAAATGCATTATTGTAATGATTACAGCAATCACTTTGATGCTTGAACTGGTTACTGTCATGCGTACCTAAAGGCTTTGGGTACTCGGGGAACTTGGGGCCACTAAATAATTATAGGCGGGTGGCTTCTTAGTGCCGGCGCCACCCGCGCCGTAAAATATACGTAGAAGTGTAAAAAGGTCGTGCATACCACGCCAGGTTTTCATGCTAAGAATTAGAGTCTTCTTTTTCGATGCAATATTAGATCCCACGTCAGGCTGCTGGCACTGGGACCTTGCTACACTGAGAGTTCATTATTTTGTCCCGGAAACAATGTTTTATTTGTTACGGTGCTGGCATCCGCAGCCCATTCAGTGGGGGCCAGACTGAACAAGTAATACATACAGTGGGTACTCACGGGGCTTTATTAGGACAGTCTAGCGCCTGTGCCATCTCATAAAATAAGCCGCTTGGCCCCCATTTCGTACTCTATGCAACAACCCAAGTCCCGATACACTAACTAACTAATCTAGACTCGGCAGCGAATGATCAGAATATGCTGTGCCTTGCCAAACTTGGATGGCACACGATGTGGCCCTGGCGTCTAGTCAAATCGCGAGGGCTAGCGACTTGGCACTTGGCGTTGGATCTGATTGTCACGCGAAGCCATCATCCACCACACACAACAGTAATCAGTTGATGAAGAATCTCAACTGTCGGGATAGCCCATCTTGCCCGCGAGTCAAAGCTCCGAGCCCTGTCTCGCACGGTCACACACGGTTGCGTCAGCGGGCCTGCGATTGCTGAGCAAGTGGCGCAGCTTGCTTAATTTCTGTCCAACCCAGCGCCGTTCATGTTGGCCTTTTGGTGCGCTAACATTGGCGTCACGATGGCTAGTTGAATGGTTAGTTAGCGTGTCATTATTCGCGTCGAATGCCATGCATGGGCTAGATTTGGGTAGGCATGTGGCCGGGTCTGGCCTTGCGTCCACCCGGTCATCAGATGCAAGCCCAATGCTACAGCAACCCGCCGTCGTTTTTCCCAGGACAACATGTGAACTAGTTAGAGATCCGTCTTCTTCTTTTCTTCTTTTCTTCTTTTCTTCTTTTGTTTCTTTTCAAATTTCATTGCCTCGCGTCTTCTCTTGGTTCAACGCTTTCAAAGCATTTTGTGATTTGCCGCAAAGGAAAAACAATGCTGCCAAAGACAAGCATCGCAGGCGCCCTGGCCGTCTTCTCCGCACACGGGCAGGCCGCGGCCAGCACGGCATCTGGTTATGATGCGACCGCTTCCGCACACGAGCGCCCGGCCGCCGCTGCCACGGCCGCTGGCTATGATTCGCCCCCTTACTATCCGGCACCGTACGGTGGCTGGGTGGACGAGTGGAGGAACAGTTACAGCAAGGCCAAAACGCTAGTCGATTCCATGACATTGGCTGAAAAGACCAATATTACAGCCGGGACCGGTGTCTTTATGGGTGAGTCTCGATGTCTCAAATTGGGCTCAGACGAGGCGATGCAGTCATCCTGTAACGACCGGGCCTATTTTAGTACCGCAGAGATAAACAAGGCTGACTGTTAATAGGGTATGTTTCCAGACTCAGTTTACACGACTGCTGCGCGTAGAAATTCCAACATCACCAGAATATACTGACGCGTTGTTCTAGACGTTGTAATGGAAACGCCGGCTCGGCTCTGCGCGTGGGCTACCCCATGCTGTGCTTTGAGGATGGAGCCAGTGGCATTCGACAGGCAGACCACGTCACCGCATTTCCGGATGGCATTACCGTCGGGGCCACCTTTGACAAGGAGCTCATGTACCAGCGCGGTGTCGCCATGGGCAAGGAGGCTCGTGGCAAAGGCGTCAATGTTCTGCTCGGTCCCACGGTTGGCCCGATAGGACGAAAGCCCAAAGGCGGCCGCAACTGGGAAGGATTCGGCGCCGACCCCGCGCTGCAGGCGAACGGAGCCCGTCAGACCATCAAGGGCATCCAGGAACAGGGCGTCATTGCGACCATCAAGCATCTGGTGGGTAACGAGCAGGAGATGTACCGCATGTACAACCCTTTTCAGCAAGCTTACAGCTCTAATATTGGTACGCCGCCTCTTCCGTACAAATTAGTCAAGTCAAAAAAAACTGACAATTACCTTGCAGATGACCGCACATTGCACGAGGTCTATTTGTGGCCGTTCGCTGAAGGAGTTCATGCCGGCGTGGGTGCCGCCATGACTGCGTACAACGCTGTAAGTCGCCTCACGGCACACATTCACTCAGCTGTTTGTTGATCAATTGCTTGCAGGTTAATGGATCCGCATGTAGCCAGAACCCCAATCTCATTAATGGCATTCTCAAGGATGAGCTCGGCTTCCAGGGTTTTGTTATGAGCGACTGGCTCGGTCACATGTCTGGCGTAGGGTCTGCCTTGGCGGGCTTGGATATGGACATGCCCGGAGACACGCAGATCCCGCTATTTGGCTTCAGCTATTGGATGTATGAGCTGTCAAGATCGGTTCTGAATGGCTCGGTGCCAATGACTCGTCTCAATGACATGGCAACTCGCATCACCGCGGCCTGGTATCAAATGGGCCAAGACAAGGGCTTCCCGGCCACCAACTTTCACTACAATACCAGAAAAAAGGAGGGTATGCTCTACCCCGCCGCTTGGCCAGAGTCTCCGTCCGGTGTTGTCAATCAAGACATTGACGTGCGCGCCGATCACGATGATGTGGCTCGACAGATTGCCCAGGATGCCATTACTTTGCTGAAAAATGACGATGGACTCCTTCCGCTCTCAGAAGGACGATCGATCAAGGTGTTTGGTACGGATGCCGCCAAGAACCCCGATGGACCCAACGCATGCGCGGATCGAAACTGCAACAAGGGCACACTCGGTCAGGGCTGGGGCAGCGGAACTGTTGACTACACCTATCTTGATGACCCCATTGGAGCTCTGAAAACTCGAGTCAAGGATGTCAAGTTGTACAAAACGGACTCGATCCCTCTTGTACTACCAAAAGCCACTGATAACGATGTCGCTATTGTCTTTATCAGCTCAGACTCGGGCGAAAACACTTATACCGTCGAGGGCAATCACGGTGACCGCGATGCTTCCGGGCTCTATGCGTGGCACAATGGAGACAAGCTTGTGCAGGATGTCGCCGCCAAGTACAAGGATGTAGTTGTCGTTGCCCACACGGTTGGCCCTCTGGTCTTGGAGAGGTGGATCGCGCTGCCGAGCGTAAAGTCGGTGCTGATTGCTCATCTGCCAGGCCAGGAAGCTGGTCGCTCTCTGGTCGAGGTCCTTTATGGAGACGTGTCGCCGAGCGGACACTTGCCCTACAGCATCACAAAGGCCGAAGATGACATGCCCAAGAGCGTCACAGATCTAATCAATTTCGAGCTCGGCTTCCAAGCCAATGACGACTACACCGAGGGCCTCTACATTGACTACAGATGGCTGAACAAGGAAAAGACTCAGCCGCGCTATGCTTTTGGCCATGGCCTCAGCTACACAAGGTTCGACTTTAGCGACGCGTCCATTACCCAGGTCACGCCACTTACCCGCACACCTCCCGCACGGTCTGCCAAGAGCGGCATCCTCGACTACTCGCAAGAGATTCCTGACAAGAGCGAGGCCGTCGCGCCCAAGGGCTTCCGCAAAATTTCACGCTACATCTACTCGTGGCTGAAAGAGGAGGAAGCCGACGAGGCCGAGTTGGGCTCTGCCACCAGAACATATCCCTACCCGGCTGGCTACACGGATGAGCAGCGACCCGGTCCTCGCGCTGGCGGTGGACAGGGCGGCAACCCTGCGCTCTGGGACACGGCTTACACCATCTCGGTCAAGGTCGCCAACGCTGGCGCCAAGTATAGCGGCAAGGCGTCTGTGCAGGCCTATCTGCAGTTCCCGGATGACAATGGTGGCTACGACACGCCCGTCATCCAGCTGCGTGACTTTGCAAAGACGGAGACGCTGGCGCCGAGTGCGACGGCGACGGTCGAGCTAAAGCTCACGCGCAAGGACCTCAGTGTCTGGGACACGAACATGCAGGATTGGATTGTGCCTAATGTTGACGGAGCCTACAAGGTTTGGATTGGCGATGCCAGTGATAACTTGGGCACCGTTTGCTACACTGACTCGCTCAAGTGCGAGACGGGCGTCGAGGGACCCGTCTAATCATGTGTTGAAGCGGCCTTACATAGATGTGAGAAATTTTGTCATATGTAATAGACGAGAGTGTGTTGGCCAATTAAGAAAAAGGCATATAAATTCGCCGGTAGTATGTAATGTACAATTGTGTCTATAATCTGGCGAGGCCGCTTCGAACAGGGCCCAAGTCCAGAGTCTGCCTTGCTCCATCTCCAACAACTAAATGCTGCACACCCCCTCTCAAGAAGCCAGAGAGATCTGAGCCAGAAGCTCAGTGTCTTCTTCTATAAGAACCATACCATCGTCGTTTCTTCGCCTCCTTATATTGTTACAAGGCACGCATCGCCGTTTCCATCCCCGTCCCGCTTAGTGGCAGCCCAGCTTGGCGCGACCCTTTTGCCTGCGCCTCTTTAAGATCGCGCGGCCGGTGCGCGTGCGCTTGCGCGAGAGATATCCGTGGCGGCGCTTCTGCACCAGCCTCGTCGCGCCGTTCATGGTGTTGCGGGGACCGCAGCGGATCTGGCTTGCGCCGCCTGCGAGCGCCGGGTGCGCAGAGATGGCCCCAGGCGCGACGACGTCGACGGCTGTGGCGGTGGCGGTCGTCGAGGGGAGGGGCGTAAAGGCAGTCATGGCGCTTGGTCTTCGTAGAGGATTGGCGTAGAGGCTCGGACGGACGGGGGAGAGGGTTGTAAAGGTGCTAGCAGGTTGGCCGGTTAGTTGAAGATTGAGGGAGCGGGAGCGAGATGGCACGGCTGGAAGCTGTGGAAGGAAGCGTACCGGATGGGGAGTGCTTTGCACGTCAGCACTGGACGTGCTATGCGGGCGAGGGCTTGCATCGTGATGGCAATTGGTAGTCGAGGTATGCGATGAGGAAGCTTGATTGATGGCGATGCTGGCTTTGGAATCTGTAAAATTTAGAGAGTTGCCATTGGTTGCTAGGTAGAGGTCATGGATTTGTGGACCCTCGTTGTACCTTGGTCTGCGAGTACCGTTGACAATATCCCATTCAAACGAGATTTCTCGTCTATCCTGTGGGGATTTAACGATGAGTGAAACGTGATCTTCCTTGTCTTGTGCTACTATAATGTTGGTCCTGAGAAGTGCAAGGTTGGAACTCTCAACCAGGAGCGATTAGATGAACGACCTCAAGCTGGTTCGCGTTTGGTTAAAAGCATCTTGAGCCTTCTTGTTACTTGTCTCTTCTCCGAATCGTGTTAAATAGGTCTAAATTCACTTATTCATTTTGTAGGTCTTTTAAAAATCATGTAGAGCTCTGTAGCTCCAAAAAGGCTTGAGTTATTCGTGTTGTTCTGATGCTCTGCCAAACCATCTCTGTACGCCATTGCGCCCATCATATTAATTCAAATTCAAATCATGTGCCTCAGTATTATGGGCGAGGTCCGAATCCGTTGCTTTTCCTGTGCCCGCCGTCGAATTTTCTTCAATTTCCGTACTTCTGTTCTGTAGCAGCCCGTCTCAACAGGTCTTCTCACAGGGCACGAAAGTTTTGTGACATAATTAGCCACTTTTTGACCCCTCGCGGCGGATTCCTGGCCATGGCATCCCAGTTGGGAACCAGCACAAACGTCTCGTTGAACATTTTCTGTTGCGCGTCCTTGGCCTTGCCGAATTGCACGCGGCCGACGGCGGTGACGACGAAGCTCATGCGACTGCCGTTGCGCTCCGCCTTGGCCGCGTCGTGGACGTTGTCGGGCATGCCGAATTTGAAGGATGGGTTCATGACGTGCGCATCGAGCGACTCGACTTCGTAGTGGACGCCGCTTCCCTGCGCCTCGACGAGCTTGAGGTAGTCGGCGGGCGTGGCCACGAGCTGCCCGTTGATGGAGATGTCGGCGGGTATTGAGTACCGCGGCGACGAGTTGACGTAGAATCCCTGGATGTTTGACTTGCTGTTGATGGACTGGTAGTAGGTGTTGACAAAATTGTCGGCAGCTGTCGTCTTGTGAGTGTCTGGCTGGTGGAAGCGATGGTGTTTTCAGCATGTACCTTCGCTAGAGACCTGCACCTCGGTGTACGCGTCTGGCAGGTTAGATTTACTCATATTGCGTATGTGATGGATCTTTCCGAGTAGTGATTATCAGAAATAGACCCTCATCAAGCGACATGAAGAGGTGGGATGCGGGATGAAGAAGTTGGTGGTCATTCAAGTCTTCTCGATCCACCAGGCACCAGTGTCAGGCAGTGCAGATCCACCCGGAAGCTTAGCTCTCGCGACAACGTCTTCTGTAAATCTTCAGCAAAGCTTCAACCTGCAACACGTGCGCGCACAAGATGAGGTTGGCACGCTTGCAGCCTTTCAGGTGTGCACAATCGAGGCCATCGCGGCCCTTATTGCGGCCGTCGTGGATATGCGCCAGCTGCCGGCCCAATGGCCCGTTGTCGCGCCGCTGGAATAGCTCTGCGCAAACCAAGGAGAAGCCCTTTTACGTCACAACGCCAATATTCTACGTCAATGCGGGTATGCAAACCGTACAACTCCACGAACTATCACGATTCTAACCCTCCCTGCAGCCCCTCACATTGGTCACTTGTACTGCACCGTCCTAGCCGACGTGTTGAAGCGATGGCAGCAGATAAATGGCAAGGAGGCATACTTGTGCACCGGAACCGACGAGCATGGCATGAAGATTCAGCGCGCGGCCGCTAAAGAGAGCATGGATCCTAAATCGTTTTGCGACCTCAATTCAGACAAATTCCGCAGCTTGACCCACGACGCCGACATCTCCAACGACTTCTTCGTCCGCACGACCGACCCCGACCACAAGGACGCCGTCTCGCAGTTCTGGCTGCAGCTCAAGAACTCGCTGCCAAAGGACCTAGGTCTTTACAAGGGCACCCACGAGGGTTGGTACTGCGTCAGCGACGAGTGCTTCTATCCCGAGGACTTGGTGCAGCCCAGCATCGTGCCGCAGACGGGCAAGAAAATCATGATCAATGTCGAGTCGGAGAACGAGGTCGAATGGGTCAAGGAAGAGACGTGGTTCTTTCCATTGACCAAGTACAAGGATGCGCTTCTCAAGTTCTATGACGAGAACCCGGACTGGGTCAAGCCGGCAAACCGCATGCAAGAGGTGCGCGATTGGGTCGAAAACCACCTGGAGGATCTATCCGTTACCAGGCCCGTCTCGAGACTGAACTGGGGTATTGCCGATCCGGAGGATCCCACACAAACAATTTACGTTTGGGTCGATGCCCTCATCAACTACATCACAAAGGCTGGCTATGGTAGCCAGTGGCGCACACCGACGGACGACACGGGCATCTGGCCCGCCGACCTGCACATTATTGGCAAGGATATCCTGCGCTTTCACGCCATTTACTGGCCTGCGCTTCTACTTGCACTTGGCCTCCCGCCTGCCAAAGGTATTTTGTGCCACAACCACTGGACCATGTCTAATCGTAAGATGTCCAAGTCGCTTGGCAACGTTGTCAACCCCGTCTTTGCCCTCCAGCGCTGGGACGTTGATCCCCTGCGCTACTTTCTCATGCGCAACGGTAATCTGACCAAAGATATGAGTTACTCTAATGATATCATTTCTGCCATCTACGGAAAGGAGCTGCAAGCCAATATCGGTAATCTCTTTTACAGAATCGCCAAGCCAAAGGGCGCTGCAGGTTGGTCTACGCGGAAAGCGGTCGCGAGTAGCAATAGCGGCGCTTTCAAGGAGCTTGACGAGTTCAGGCACAAAGCTGAGTATGCTCAATTCTTTTCGCTGGAATCCACCCTTGGGCGGGCCTCGAATGCCTTTTCAAAGGAAATGGAGGACTACAACACCGGTGGTGCCATTCGCGAAGCGTTCGAATTATTAAGAGACGTAAGTTGCGTTTTCTTGGCCCTCGCACAGGACGCATTTGCTCACATTTTGGACAGACAAATCGATACATCACTGATACCCAGCCGTGGGTTCTTGCCAAGCAAAAGGAGCCCCTCTCAAAGCTACTCTTGAACTGGACTATCCATCGCAGCGCTGAAGCCCTCCGCATCGCCGCCATTCTGTTGCAGCCCATCATGCCGAGTAAGATGAAGCGTCTGCTTGACGAAATGGGGGTGCGGCCGGACCGTCGCTCCGTGGCCTACGCTCATCCCGACGCCGATGACGCCTACGGCACTCGCAACCAAGGCAACTCCAACCACGACCGGGCCAACAAGCACCTGTTACTGTTCCCGCCTATGGCCAGCGGCGACGTCTCAGATGCAGAGGTATTGCAGCAGCTCAAAGCATACATGGGGAAGAACATGGCCAAGTCAAAGATGAATCAGATGGTGGAGCTCCTGGCCATGGAGGCGAGGATGGGCGAGGCGCAAGTCGCCAAGCTGCTCGGCACTGAGTTCCCCGTGGAGCAGACGCCGCCGAGGCATCCCAATTGAGCCATACGAGGGAAATCTTATGTAATATAGTGTATTTTTTCCTGTAGCATTTAGGAGGGGCCCCATGCACGAACGTTTCTTGACTTTCATCGGCGAGCTTTGAACAAATGCTCATTAGTGGCTACCCACGCTTCCACTCTGCACCATTGCTGAGCGTCCAAATATAGTCCCGATTGAAAGTTATGCCCTTCAGTGTAGTTACAGATTGTTCTAATCCATAAAGCCACTCCTTCCTTTGAGGTGCTGACTTGGCTTGGTGTCGGCTATGCTTCGTTAGTTGCATTTTTGCCTCTGACGATATCCACTTTCTCTTGGTGTCGCTCATTTTGAGCACTCAAGCTTCTTACGCACGGCGGTACAAGAATGAGAGTAAATCAGAATACGGGTAAAGCAACTCTTTCTATCCGTCTTTCATAGGTGCTGACCCATCATCCAGCTATAGCTGCTTCCAGGGCGCTTCTTGTGCCCTACGAGGCGCACCACGTAGTCAAGTACCACGGCTGGATGCAGGACCCCGTGCGTTTGCCTTCCGTGAGGCATGTCATTGGATGAAGCATGCTCATGGATCTTCTCTAGGATATCCAAGAAGCTACGGCGTCTGAGCCCATGACACTGGAAGAAGAATACGAAAATCAGCAGTCGTGGCGCACGTCTGCCGACAAGCTCACATTCATCATCTGCGAGCCCGTCGCTGCGACGCAGACGACAATCACTGCGCAAAAACAAGATGCCAACCCGCGTATGATTGGTGATGTGAACTTTTTTCTCTATCCAGACGATGGAGATGATAATGAAAACGCAACAGGCGACGCTCTCGTTGGCGAGGTCGACGTCATGATTGCTGCCAAGAAGCACAGAGGCCAAGGGTACGGCGAAGCCGCCGTGCGTGCGCTCTTGGTCTATATACAGACGCATCTAGATGCCATTTTGGCCGAATATGCGCAGGGCGGCCCGAAGAGCTCGTTGCGGGCGTTGATGGTCAAGATTCAGCAAGGAAACAAGGGGAGTCGAGCGCTGTTTGAGAAGCTGGGTTTTATGCAGATGGGAGGCGTAAACTACTTTGGAGAGGTCAAGATGGTGCTTGACTGGAGAGATGAGGTCGGAAGCCGAGATGATGCGTGGAAGGCGGCGGCGAAGGAGTACCGCGAGCTCAAATATGAAGCTTTGCTCTGAGTGCCCTACAACTCAACGAGGTTGGTTGCGCATGAACAGTGATTGGACTTGTTCACTTGAATTATCGCATGCTGGAATGAGTAACTTGCGCATGGGAGTTTCAGGTAATAGATGCTCTCTTGACTTTGAGCATCTTTAGTTCCGCATCCGAACGCGTTCAACTATGAAGCTTTTTTATTCATATTTTTATAAAGCGACATCAATCTGCACATTAGGAGCCCTGAGTATCTCTTCAATACTCGTTTCGGTTTGGCTGGCATCAAATGAGCTCTCATTTATAGGAAACTAACCACCCATCTGATCTCAAATGTGCTCAGATGCTGGCTGAACCTCTTGGGATGCGAAATTGGTGGAGGGCTCATCAACGAGTGCATGGCTGCATTCACACTGACAGAGACGCAAAAAGGAAAGTCTAAGCAAGTAGACATACGTTGGGAGCGAAGAGAGCTTGCTTTCAGAGTCTCCGGTTTCGTCCAATTGGCAGCCTCCGTCTCTGCTCGCCTTCGAAATGACCCGCATAGATAGGATTGGCGAGGTTTGATGACAGTCACCAACTCGAAAACTTCGAATGCAAGGAGCTCGACAGATTAACAAAAAGGCCTCCATTTGGTTTCTTTATAACTCATAGCGTTCCCTCGTCGCCGACCGCAGAATTGCAGCGTGAGCGTAATGATAATAAAGCCTGCTTTAACGACGGCGCCAAGCAGGTTGGCAGCTGATTTCTTCGGCGAGCCTAAACAGGCAACTTGGTTGCTAGTGCGTCAGCCTGGTGCAGTACTGGCACTCGTCCTGGGCGGCTGACAGCAAGGTTAGTTGGGGGACTGAATGTATGCGAGAGAGGAAGATCAAAGATGGGTGGTCCCGCCTATTTATGCTTTTCAACTGCTCGGGGAGCCCATGAGTCACTGGCTGCGTGGATCATCACCGGCGTGCTTGATAGGGAAAAGCGCCGGGGACGCTGGCGCAGGGCCTAACAAAGAGGAAGATTGCCGATTTGGTTTGGCATTATTTACTACTGATTCAACAGCACTGGCTTTCGAGGCGGGCAACCGGAGCACTGAATACAAATAGACTTCCTCCGCAGCCTTTCGCTAATGTCGGGCGATTCGCCATATTTCTTATCATTGGCGTAGCAGAGTCTTGCACAGTCTGCCAAACAGCCCTTCGATCGGTGATCAGTGAATACAAAGTAAACGGCAAGAGAACAAGAGAAAATGTCGCCTGCGAAACTCAATCCCTCCGTTGAGGATATCCTCAAACACTACGAGTACAAGCCCGAGCAAGTCGAGCGCGTCAATCCACGCCGCGAGGCTCTGCCACTGGCCATTGAAGAGCCCAAGCCGGAATGGCCTCGGCGCTTCGCCATCCTCGAGGCCAAGATCCGCGCCGCCCTCGGCGACACGGCGCTCACAGTCTCCCACGTCGGCTCCACCAGCGTCCCTGGCCTGCCTGCCAAGGACGTCATTGACATTGATCTCACGGTGGCCGACATTGACGACGAGGACTCGTACGTGCCGGCGCTCGAGGCGCAAGGCTTCCACTTTAGGGCCCGCGAGCCGCTGTGGCACAATCACCACTACTTTCTCTACTATAGCGAGAACTGGTGCAATCTGCATGTTTGGGGCCGCGGGTGTCCCGAGACGGTCCGGCACTTGCTGATGAGGGACTGGCTGCGGGAGCATGAGGAGGATCGCGAGGCGTATGCGCGGGTCAAGCGCGAGGCTGCTGCTGCGACAAACGACGTGGGCGAGACTGTGATAGAGTATAATCTGCGAAAGGAAGGTTGGATCAGAGAGCTTCTGTGTCGTATCTTTACTGCCAAGGGCTACATGACCGGTGATGGACAGCCAATTCCCAGAAGTTGAGAACGTTGGTCTGGGCAGCGTTATGTAAGACGAGTAATAAGCTGCCAACTGGGGAGGCTTGAGACTGATATCACTACAAAAAGCTTGAGATTGACTGAAAGCTTCCGAATAGATTCAATAGAAGACTTTGATAATGCCAAGGTACAGGAGCGCGTAGTCTTTAAAAGCTGTCAACCCATCTCATCGGCTCAGCAATCGTGGCATTCAGCCACGCACGCTTCTGCGGACTCTTGAAGCCACCGCAGGCGTCCGTCGTGATGCAAACATTGCGCGCGCAGCAGGTTCCTACGGCGCACACACTGCCCAGGGGACAGTCTGCACTGGTGCCACAGCCGGAGAGGCCGTCGCACGGAGTTTGGCCGTTGACGCAGAATCCCTTGCCTCCAGTAATAGAAGCGCAGACACAGCTTCCACCAGGACCACAGGGACCAAAAGCGCCGCAGACGCTGCCGGTACAGGAATTGAAGGAGCATGCGCCGTTGGTACAGGATCCCGAAGGACACTATTCATATCGTGTTAGAGAAGAGACAGTACGATGGAGTAGAGCAGACTTACATGGAAGTAGCACTTTCCACAGTTTTCAGGATCGTTGCTGGTGTCGACACACTTGTCGGCGCAGGCTGTCTTGCTCTTGTCCTCACACTTGCAATCACAATGCTCTTTGGTTGCTGCGGCAAACGCTTTCTTGCCAAAGAACTCGACTGCCAGATAGTACGTCGCGGCGGCGCCGTTGCACGCGAGGTACAGCTTTGGGATGGGCGCAAACTTGACACACGACTGCGTCATGCAGCCGAGAAACTTTTTATTGCAGGGTCCAAACTGCTCGGTGCAGGTGCCGAAGCAAATGTCGTGGTCGTTGCAGCACTCGCCAAAGGACAGGTTCGGCACTTTGATGCCGTCCTTGGCGCCGCAGCCGTTGGCCGTCGGCGGGACCCCATTGGAGACGGCCGTCTGCCCGGAGGGGCAGCGCTGGCCGGGAGGCGCGCCGGGGATGTTGGATGGGATCACGTAGAAGCCATCGGGGACGGGGATGTCGCGCTTGGATTTGCTCGCGCCTCCAGAGGTGGCGACAATGTGCTGGTCAGCGGCGACGGAGAAGTGGAACTCGCTGCCGCCGACGATGCCAGCAGTGAGGCGGCCCTTGCAGGTGAAGGAGAAGACGGAGGTGACGTATTGATCATCTCCGTTGCCGGTGTAAGTTTGGCCGTTGGAGCTGTTGCGGTCAGAAAGCCCAGTGGCAGAACGTTGAGAGAATACTTGCCTGGTGCTAACGAATCCAACTTTGCCAGACTTGTAAATGGCTAGGTACTGAGGCGCACCATTTGCAACCAGCTGGACATCGTAGACTCTACAAACGAAGCCGTATTAGTACAGAGAAAAGGAGCAAATGTGCTCAGCAAAATAGATACCCATTTGGTGCGCCGGATGCCTTTACAGTCTTGTAGCGGACAGGCACCCAAGGCTCCTTGACCTCCTGGACAACCATTGCAAGGCTGCCATTGTTGACGATGGGAAGAGCCGAGGTAGGATCAAGAAGATCAAATTCGCCAGAGTCGCTCGGGGGGTAGACACAGCCTTCGTAACTAGTTGGAATCGGAGGCGTGTAAGTCGGGCCTGGGGTCTGAGTGACGGTGACGGTGGCAGTGACGACAGAAGTCTAAAGCACAGGAATTAGCTACAAATTTGGCAATTTCGACTCACGAATATAGTAGCTCACTGGGTGAATGGTAATGGTATTGGCGGTAATACCCCAGCATGAGCATGCGCTCGAGTAGCGACTAGTGCCGGAGCAAGCTGAAGCATACGACGGCACCGCCACGTCGCGATTGAGTATAGTGATGGCAGGAGGATTGGGCGCCGCAGTAATTGTCAAGGTATTTGTCACAGTCCTAGAGTTTTTTCATGTTAAATCTTGATATACTTTGGGGAGATGTTCTGATGCGCGTTTTGCTGCAAGCATTGACCCGTTGGAACTGGCCACTTACACGGCGCTGCCTGTCACCGTCTTGGTCATGAAGCGGCTGCAGTCGGCCCTGGCCAAGGTCCCAAAAGCATCGCCCCGGCGAGTGCCCGTCACGGCACGGGCGCAATTATCGTTGTTGCAGCCTGTCGTGGCTAGGACATGGTGTGCTTGGACAAGGACCGCCAGTGGCGCATAGACTGAAGAAAAAAGCATAATGGTTGGTATTATTGGATACGAAAGGGGCCGACGATGCCGTGTCGTCTGCCAAGCATGCAGACTCGTTTTCCCAAACACGTTCCTTATCCAACTATATAAGCTTTTTCATAGAGTTGCTGTTTCTTTCACCGGTTCGAGCCCGACATGTCGACATTGCTCAGCACAACCCCGTTTTGTAAAAGTAGTTGGCATCGGGGCTGCACAGCTCATGCCTCAGCTTACAAGCCACACCATCGATCCATTGACAATATTTCAGCCCAGCGACGTCGCACGGCCCAACCACATTACGCCAAGATCAAGGCCCAGATTCAGACTTGCCAGAGTATATCAATGTTGCGGCCCGTCGGCGGGTGTCGGAGTTTGCATCGTCAGCCTTGAATACTCTGAAAACGTGGCTTAGGCTGGGGTCCAAAATCTGCTAGTTCAGGCCTCCCGCACAGCTGAGGCTGGATCAACTATACATCGCAAAACTTCCACATTCAGTTACACTCGTGGATACATGACCCAGGATTAGCAGCTGGTGAGACTTATTTGGCTATGCTAGAGTGCTTTCCTGTGTGCAGCTGTGTGCAGCTGAGCTAGACAATGAGGCATTGTCTAATCTGTATTAAATAATTGTCTATTGGATAAGAATCCAGTCGGCATCAATCACAGCCCTCCCCGGGTGAAAATAGACGTCAGTTACGAAAAGAAGATTTTATCAGAGTGAAGAAGAAAGCGAGAAAAGAGACGGGGCAATAAAAAAAGGATACAAGGTCGAGAAGAGCAATGACCTAGATAGCCATTTAGCTTTGAAGCATTTGCAGCAATTTCGCGAAGGAGATGCAAACTACGGCCAGGGCCTGTAATAATACCGTGATCCTGAGTTTTTTTGAGTACTGGCGACTGGCGACTCAGGATACATCGAAGAAGAACCCACAGGGCTGGCCACGGTGGGCCACGGCGGGCCACAGCACAAAGTACCGTCTATCCCCTGTACAGAAGCCGTACAGCCAGTACAGCAGCCGTACAGTGGCCAGTACAGAAGCCGTACAGTAGCCAGTATAGCAGCCATACAGCTAGTACAGCGGCTATACAGCAGCCGTACAGTGGCTAGTATAGCAGCCATACAGCCAGTACAGCAGCTATACAGCAGCCGTACAGTGGCCAGTATAGAAGCCGTACAGCCAGTACAGCAGCCGTATAGTGGCCAGTATAGCAGCCGTATGGTGGCCAGTATAGCAGCCATACAGCCACTAGCATCCTGAGTCACCACTTTTGATTTAAGTACTAGTGACTTAGAAAAAGGCATAAAAAGGTAGATATAGAGCCCTTTTTATCTATACAAGACGCCCCTATTAGAAAAGGTACTTCGTTAACTAGGGGCAGATTATAGCTGACTAGGGGGTTAAGTAGGGTAGTTAAAGTTATGTAATTTTATGAAAAAAACCACTCGAGTCGCCAGTCGCCAGTACTTAAAAAAACTCAGGATCACGGTATAAGATGTACTTTGTAGCTTCAAGTAGCTACTCCACCGCATGACCTCTTATAAAACACCCCGCGCCCAACCAGATATATTTCTACTTGAACCAATAACGACGAGTCTCGCAGCATATCTGCTCCAACGACACCGGATGAACTACGTGCCCGACGAGCCCCAGTCTAGAGATGACTGCCCCATGTGAATAAGCCTCAAACTCGTCCGCCGGCAGCGTTAGACTCGTCTTAACCGTCAACTCCAAGCCGCGCATCTCTGCGACTTTTCGCCACGCCTCTAGCGCTTCTGGTATGAATGGGAGGCCGAATGTTGCTCGCCATTGCACCGAAACGTTTCTCCCATCCGTTACCTCATAGCGAAACTCGCTCGCAACTCCCTTGGCTCCATACCAAATTACCATGGTATCCAGCGCGGGCATGCGCAGTGCAACCTGCCCTGCCAGTGCCAAGATGCCGTCGATGCGACGAGTGTCTGTTTCTGGCACCAGCTGTCGTGAGGTCAGATATAGGGACGATAACGCGTGCCAATTTGACGTGTAATCCTTGGCACAAGTGAAGAAATCATGTGCATCAATCAAGTACGATGCTGCAAGCTTCTCGAGCCCCAACATTTGAGCTAGCGCCTGGGCGATCAAAACTGATGGCGTTCGATGCAGCTCCGGACGGCACACCCATTCAGCAGTTACTGGATCAGTCACGTAGACACGACAGTAGTCCTCGTTGAAGTCCTCAAAAAGAATAAGGTGTTTCAATGTATTCGGAAGGCTTCGAGGAATGTATCGACTGAATGCTGTTCCTAGTATTAGTGGGACCACATTGAGAGTATGTTTGATCCGACTTACCTGTATCTTTAGGATAGGCCCCAGTCTCGGGGAAGCAAGCTTCAGACCTCCAAGGCTCCAATACGATGGAATGTAGGTTAGGCAGCTTTTCAAGCATAGCTTCGAGTGTGTCTATTGGCAATCGCCGCCGTGTCTGGCGCCTGATTATGAACTTGTTGACTGCTGGGACTGGTTGTAGTTCAAGATCACCACGTATACTGCTCGTAGGTTGCGTGATGACCTGAATTGAATGTAGTTCATGGGGACCCATGAGTTGTCCATTTTTCCAGCCGTGGCCGCGGTCGTTTAGCCTAGGGCGGCCGATTTCCAACTCCTCGGCAGGGGTGAAAGGGGACGAGTCGAAGTGTAGATGGTTCCAAAAGACATGTTCCATGTCGCTCTTGGAGAAGACGCTGATCTCTAGTGTCAAATTGCCGGCTTTCGCAAACCCTTCTCTGCTCCATCCACGAAGCAGGTAAAAGAGTTGCCATAGCGTTGTGTCTACCAAGGCTGCATCGACTTGTCTTCTTGCACTATCGTCAAGATGATCCAAATCCAACTTAATACAGTCAGGGCAGTCATACCCCTGCAGCTCAATTGCTAGCCAAATATACTGGACGAAATTTTGTTGGTGGCAGTTGAGTCGCCTCAAGATTGAAAGGGTTGACGAGGTAAGGAACAAGTGTTGGTATATGCGCGGTTCCAGGATTTGCTTCCAGGTCTTACAAGTCGTCAGGTATCCGATACAGTCCGGCTTCATCCTCTGAAACGGCCTGCCAACCACGCCTCCTTTGTTGTTGCTGCTTGTTGGACTTGATAGGCGGAAAAGGTGATCAAGTATCAGCTCCTGGAGTTCGTATGGCAGATCCTTCCACTGAGCCATTGTGGTTTTTATGCAAGCTTTTGCTTCTGGCTATCTGTTT